TGAGTTGGGGGCCGACTGTGGAGGCAGCTAACAACAAAAACAGTCGGAGAGGGCTTGACAATCTGGAACTACCTCCCACCTATTCAATGCCACAAATATTTATTGGGTATCTCTACCAAGGGGAAAATGGGACTACGAGGAGCTGAATTTAATTCTAATAGAGAGGAAGCAGACAGAAATATGACATGTAAACATGATTACAATCCAAGGCCAAAATGTGAGACATGCCTTAAGATGTTACAGTACACTACGGAGGCAGGGAGGGGGGGAAGATTCTGGAGAGAGATCATATATGATGGATGGAACTAGTAAAGGCTTCATGAAGAAGCCAGCAGCAATTGAGATGGTCTCTGAAGGACAGAAGTATTTCAAGGAAGAGGTGAAGTTGCTCCAGACAGAAGGGTAACAGGCCCCAGGGAACAGGGCTTCATCGCATTTGGCCCAAGTACAGGGAATGTAATGAACACGGGACATGAGGCTAGAAAAGCAAGCTGGGGTGATGTTACTGGAGGGGCTCGAATGCCACATTCAGAGTTAATATTCAACTTTTGAAGATACCAGAGAAAGAAAGGGACCTGAGCAGATAAATGCTTTCCAAAAAGAATAACCTGACAGTCACTTGAGTGAGGTTTAGCAGTGGAAAAAAAGGGGAAAACTTATCTAGGAGCTTATTTGCAGAGTGGGTATGAAAAAGGTGGGGATTGTAACAAAGAGTTAAGACTGGGTAAAATGAGAATGAAACATGGAAGAAACAAAGGCTAAAAGTTAGGGCCCAGATGACAGAAAAAATAATGCCTTTAAAAAAAGATAGGGATGTTAGGAGAAGCTTGTGTGGGCGGGGGGGTGGGGATGTAAGGGGCAGCAGGGGAGATGACCAGGCTGGTTGGGATATCCTATTGCGATCTTCGTCTCTTTAATACCAGAAACAAGAATCTAGAATGGTGGCAGTGCAAGTCATCTTGTTGTATTTCACTTTGACAGAAACCATGTAGGTCACAGGGCCTTTGCACATGCTGTTCCCTCCACCTAGAGGTTCACTCCCTACTCCTAGCAGGTTAATGCAGCTCAAAAAATACTTCTGCAGTGAATCCCTCCTCAACCCTCCCAGACAGGATCAGCCCATCAAATGATCTCACAGAACCGTTCTACTCTCTATCATAGCTCTTATCTCTATTCTAATTTTGCATGTTTTGGTGATTATTTGATTAATGTTATCTCCCCATGACCAGACTGTGAGCTCCCCGGGGTGTCCCCTAAGCCTACCAGCAGATATCGATGAATACCTGTGGAAGAGAGGACAGGTGGGCAGTGACTGTGTCTAGATTTTAGCAAGCAGATGGTGTGGGAACCTGAAATCACATCCCACAAGATATGGCTGAAGCAGCAGACTTATTCAGCCAGAAGAGAAGCCTCGGGTGGCAAGATGGTGGTCTCCAAATATCTGAAGAGCCGTCTAGGGGATGATGAATTAGCAGTACAGTGGGTGGTCTCAGGGAGTCAGAAAGAGCCAGGATTGATGACTGAAAGTTACAGGGAGACAGATTTCAGCTCGAGGGTTGGAACAGCTTCCGTACAGCCATGGAAAATGGATTACTCCAGGTGGTGGTGAGCACCATGACTGGACAGGGTCAGGCAGAGGTGCACAGGCCCTTAGTGAGGACATCGTGGGAGACTGAAACGCCGAGGACCATTTACACTAAAGGGACTTGAAGGTCTCTCCATCCCCAAATGAATTTTTCTGGCTTGTCTTAGTTATCTAGTGCTGGTATAACAGAAATACCACAAGTGGATGGCTTTAATAAACACAAATTTATTCTCTCACAGTCTAGGAGGCTAGACGTCCAAATTGAGGGTGCCAACTCCAGGGGAAGGCTTTCTCTCTCTGTCGGCTCTGGGGAAAGGTCCTTGTCATTAACTATCCCTGGTCGAGGAGCTTCTCAGCGTAGGGACCCCAGGTTCAAAGGATGCGCTATTCTCCTGGCTCTTGTTTCTTGGTAGTATGAGATCCCTGTGTGGACTTTCTGGCAAGGCTCATGGCCTTTTGCTTGCTCTGGATTCTGCAGCTGGCTCCAGTTCATCTGACCTCCAGTTCTTGGGACTTGGGCTAGCAGCTTACCTGCCATCTTGCCTGCCGATCTTCAGATTCATTGGTCTCTGCAGCCTGTGAGCCAGGAGAAGCCTCCAGTCTGACCACAGACTTGGGACTTTCCAGCCTCTACAACCACATGAACCATTTCTTTGATATAAATCTCTCTCTATATATATATATTTACACACTTTACTAGTTTTCTTCTCTAGAGAACCCAGCCTAAGACACATTCCTCAGACAATATTACTTTACTAAAACATAAGCACAAGACATCCTCTCATACTAACTGATGAATTCATATGGGCAAAAGGACTGTAGTGGCCCAGATTCTGGGGCCAATAAGGAAGTTCATTTTTCTCTCTGATATTAACTCTGTGCTCCTCATATACTATAACTGACCTCAAACTTGAAAGAAAACCTTGGGGGACGGGAAATTTAACTGTTTTAGAAAGAGGAGTGGCCATTCAGATCCACAGGCCAATGGCCATTTCAATCAAAGAGAGAAAATCACCCCCAAACATGAGCGCCTCACAACTGTGCCACTGTGCCCACTGTCCCTTCCTCGGGGAATGTCGTCTGCTAGCTTACGGAGCTTAAAACATGAAGATATATTCAAGATGCTCACATGTCAACGACATGAATATTTTCACTCTAATAAGCATTGCACCACTAAGCTTTTGTGTCTAATGCAGATATCTACTAGATCACTTTATACACACACACACACACACACACACACACACACACACACACACACACACTGGAAGGAACTGGGCCCCAGTTAACCATCCCCTGCAGCCTTCCACACCAGCTCTGTAGTCACAGCTCTGCTCACCTCGGTACCCCCATTTCTCTCATATAACACACTCAAGCTGGGGTCTTGGCAGCTGGACACACCCCCAGGCCTCTGACTCTTAAAGCTGGCTTTCCCTGTCAACTGAACTTGCCCTTATTTGCCTATTACTCCTTCCCCAGATTCATCAATTTACTATTATAATTGCTTCTTACACCAACATTACCCATTGTCCTTTATCCACTCACCAACTGGCAGGCCACACAACAGCCACAGCACCAACATGCATAGAGATGAAACACTCACAAGTGCTTGGGGATATCCTGGGCTGGAAGAAAGGAGGCATCCCCCCTACCCCCAAGAAAACTCCCAACGTAGTTTATGGGCATTCAACCAGAAGAGATCTACAAGCTGAGAAGAGTAAACACTGCCCCATCCTCTGATCCCTCTCTGTATTGGGCCTAGAGGTCACCTTAAATTCTTAAAAAAATCTCTACTAATTCCTAGTATAGACAAAAGCCTTGTTTCACCATGAATCAAATTACTGTGAAATAGTATAATGCATAGAAAGTGGAACAATGGGACTCTGCTTCCCTAAAAGCAAGTGATGGGGTAAGGAATTCAATTTTTTTCTCACACTGATAGATTATCTGAAACAAGGCTCCAATCAAAATCACACAAGTATGACTAGGTATTTGAATGGACCGTGCAAAATAATATGCAATAACGCAATATGCGTCTGAAGCACAGATAAAAAGCTGAAAGCAGTAACATGAAGGTATAAAAAGTATAACACAAGCTGAAGACAACATGTATCCCTATTTAGAAAATTAACAAAATTTGAAAAGGCTTTCTGCCATCTTCTATCCAAGGAAAGGTAGCATTATTTGCTGGGAAGTAAGGTAGACAGTCATATTTAAATTCTGCTTTGTAAAAAAATTAAGAATTCACTGAAATCACATTTCTAATGACTAACATTTATGGAAAGCACATGATTTTTTTTAAGTGACCTAGAAAAAATAATCTAGGTTTTTCAAATTTCAAATATTGTTTGCCCTTTCACCTATCTTTCTTGCTTCCCCAAGCTACTTTGTTTTTTTTACTGTAATTCATATAATATAAAACCTCTAATTAAAATAGATGTACTTTATATAGTAAATTATACCTCAATAAAGTACTAAAAATACAGTCAGAGTAGTTGTTGCTGTTAGCTGCTGTGGAGTCACTTCAGACTCGGGGGATCCAACGTACAACAGAATGAAACATTGTCTGGTCCTGCACCATCTTCATGATCATTGGGATCCTTGAGTTCATTGTGTGGCCACCATGTATTCTGAATGCCTTCCAACCTAGGGGGCTCATCTTTCAGCACTGTATCACAGGACAATATTCTGTTGGTGTCCACCAGGTTTTCACTGGCTAATTTTCAGAAGTAGATCACCAGGCCTTTCTTCCAGTCCATCTTAGGCTGGATGTTCCACTGAAACTTGTTTAGGATCATAGCAACATGCAAGCCTCCAATGACAGAAGGATGGGTCATCGTTGTGCATGAGTTGCATTGGCCAGGAACCAAACTAGGTCTTCTTCATCGAAACTGAGAATTCTACCAATGAACCACCATTGCCACCTAGAACGTACCCTTCAAACAACTCCCATTTCCACCAAAGTAAGGGAAAGGTGGCACTGAATTGGATCAAAAGACAACCCATTTCAAATTTTCGAGATTTCAAGAGTGCATGGCTGCATACGGCCCACAATACAGTACTGGAGAAAACTTCCAGCAGCTACCCCCTCACCAAATGGCGAAGCAATGCAGCAGCTTTCTGAGTGGGCCAAGCAAGGAGGGCCAACCCCCTCCAGTTCTCTCCTACCTCCTTGTCCCCATAGTCAACAACGTCTTTTCAGAAATAACTAAGCACATGAAATCGCCAATAGGGAGAAGACAGAGGTATGACACCTACAAGCTGCCTATTTATAGAAGTGTTAACACTCCCCAGGAAGACACCAGAAATCTCCTTGGAAACGTCCAAGCCTGTGCTCCCTTTGGAATTCTAGTCTGCTAATACCAATGACTGAGTACAGCCTTTAAAACAAAACCAAGGAGTTAGAGGTACTTACGGTTTCCCCCCAGGGATTCCTGCCAGATTTGGAGGGATGGTAGGTACTCTCATGTGAGGGGGAGGATCAAACCCAACCTGGAAGCAAAATAAAGCATCACAGACTCAGTTTAGGCCCAGGTAGGCATTTTGTTAACTCCTAGAAAGACTTTTCATTAGAAATTCCTTTTCGTTAGAAATTCCTTTCCATTCCCCCAAAGCAATATAAATGAGAACAGTAATATTCCCCAGCATTTCTCAAAAGAAAATTATAATGCAAGAAGCAGTACAGCCACTTCTAAATACCACAGTACACATTTCTTTTTTGGGAGGTGGGGTGGGAGTGTGATCCATTTGTGCACCGAGAGCCAGATTCCCATGGCAAATACTTCCTGTAGACTTAGGATATTTTCCTCGACCAAGCAAGTACAGGGTCGCTAGGAGTTGGAGTCAACTCGACGGCAACAGGTTTTTTCAAGCAAGTACACACAGCAATACGTTAAGCTGGGATTTCTCAATCTCAGCACTACTGACATTTTGGGCTGGATAATTCTTTGCAGTGAGGGACTATCCTATATTAGGGTGTTTAGCAGCATCCCTTGCCTCTTTAAGTGCTAGTAGTAGCATACCCTCCCAACTTGGGACAACCAACAGTGTCTCCAGACACTGCCAAATGTCCCCTGGGGGACAAAACCACCCCCACCCCCCATTGAGAACCACCAGTCTAAGTTAATGCTTCAGTATTTATATATGGATTGCCTATTTTGCCAGAATCTGGAGTACCCAGATGTTGCAAACAATTATGCACTCGGCTGCTAATTAAAGGTTGGAGGTTTGAGTCCACACAGAGGCACCTTCAAAAAAAGGACTGGCAATCTGCTTCCAAAAAAATCAGCTACTGGAAACTCTATGGAGCACAGTTCTACTCTGACACACATGGGGTCGCCATGAATTGGAACTGACTTGAGGGCAACTGTGTTTTGTTCTTGTTTCTTTTCCACCAGAAATGTTGGAATCTAGTCCCTCAGCTGCCTGCCTTACTCTGGCTATCTCGCTCACCACCGGACAGCCTTCCATACTAATACAAGGTAAGGGAAAAAAGAACAATAAATCTTAATGTCACCCTAGACTATCAGAGCTATTGCTTACCTGGAGGGGGGAGGACAGAAATATGCCTGGTCTATTTAAAACATCAAATAGAAATGACTTAGGGTCTTAATTTGCTATGAGTTGTAATCTACTCCCTTTTCCTATGCAGTCAATGGTTACACAGTCAATTTTACACTTCAAATGTAGTCCTGGATCTTCCTGGACAAAAATTAGGCCGTTTACACACTGGTCAAAAGGCAGAGCAAGGGGACAAAGGAGAACCTGTCCCCCAGTTTCACAGTCCCTCATATTTCTACCTGGTTTACAGAGATCACTTCCCACACAGAAGCCCGGCTACTGGGCTTAAAGAATAATACGCGTGTAGGCATGGAAAGAGAAAGCTACGACTTCTCAAATATTTTCTTCTAAGATTTAAAGAAAGAAAGAAAAGCTCAAGAAAACGAATGAAAAGCCTTCTGTGAGCTACCTGAGTCATTTCATCACCTTCAAAAAAAAAAAATCTACTTTGGTGGGAGAAAACCAGATGTCCCCCAAACTACTCAAGTAGCTTCTAAACACTGCCTTTTTTCATCCACAAAAACAGTAAAATGAAAAGTGCTTGGCCTTAACTTAATGAACCAGCATGGCAGGCGTTGGAACACTGGGCGTCTTTGTGAGGTGTGTGGCGTTTGCTGCTCCTGCCCACATAATGTAGGGTGCAGGCCTCCACGGTGGCCGTCACTCTCTGGCTCTGCCTGAAGCCGGGCGCCTGACAGTGCTAAATGAAGAATGCAGCTTTCCTAACTGAACCAAAGCCCAACCAACGGAGACAGTGGAGCCAGCGGCCTACCATCGGCGAGCGCCCATAGGCCACCACGGCGGCGGCGGCTGCAGCAGCGCTCATCTGGGGAGACATGTTGTGCAAACTCGCGTAAGCAGCGCCCGGGCTGGTCAGCTCGCCATTCATGCCGGCGTGGGGGACCATTCCAAATGGAGCAGGGTACGGGCCGGGCACTGCCAGGGGCGTCCTCAAACCGGCTGCTGAAAGGAAAGACAAAGTGAGATATGACTCAACGGACACACTCAAATTCAAACCTGATCAACAAGTTTAAAGTATAGTGTCATTTTTTGGTGCTGTTCATTATGGGGAAGAAGAGGAAGGAAAGGCTTCCGGAGAAAATCACCTCAGATTTATACATAGAAACCATTCTTTCCCAGAGCTGAATTCATCTCCAGGAAAGAAAAGACCCCAAGGGTGCACTACCCACACATTTTCTCACTGGTAGACACGGTAGCACTGGGGAATTAGAGGAATTAAGCAGCATTACTGCACCCAATTTACAGAGGGCAAACCAAGGCACAGACACTAAGTGTTTACCTGACTTAATGTCAAAAGAAGATTTTCTTGATAAAATCCAAGATTTCTCCTTTAGTCCGAACTTTCCATTCCCTGGTACCAATTCCAAATGAAAACCCAATCCTGGATTTACGTAAACCAAAGCACGGGTTTTAGGAGGAATATTCTGGTGCCTATTTTCTTTGAGCCCGGGTTGTTACTTTTTTCCCTTTCCCAGGGAGGAAAATAAAGTTGAAAGTTATGAGTTTATTCATGGGCTGGAGTCTCCGTGAAACACTCCCAATTTCCACTGAAAGAGAGACCACTGCTTCCCAAGGGATGTACCCGCAGAAAACCAGCCAACGAAAGTAAGCAAGAAGCACACTCGGGGCAGCCAAACCCGCCTTTTCCGTCAATATTAGCTAACTCAGACACACAATGATAGTTTGGTAAGGAGCTTACATTTGGAATAATTACCAGGAACTTTATTGAAGACCCTAGCATTTGGATTATTTGGAAATAAAAGAAAAGCCAAATGTCAACAGCCAAAGACAGAACAGAGCGCAGCTGCTAAAACCCAAGGACAAACATCTGTTTCTTATCATGGCTTTTCAGAGATAGGAAGGAGGGTGGCAGTAAGTGCATTTAATATTCACGGAGAAGTGGCGTCACCAGATTAGCAGAAGATGCATCAAGCTGGGAATGGGAAAAGCAAAACAAAGCAAAGCAAGAGGCGGCACTCTACCAGCTTGGTTAACGAGGGGGTCCATGGCTGGAGGCTTGCCGAGGCCTGGACGGAGTCCTGGAGTGGCGCTGGTGCCCGGCGTTGGCATGTCACTGCGTGGAGTCGGTGTGCTGGATTTCAGAACCGGCGTGCTGGCTTTTTCATGCTGGTATCATTAAACAAATTAAATGAGTATTATTTTTAATCCAAGCCATATTACACAATTTATCACAACAGCAGCTGGGACACTGGGCACCTTCTAGCGACTCCCTCGGCCAATTTTCATAAATCCACACAATGTTGACGGCATTAACTTGGGAGCGAGAAATGTTGACCTTTCCTCTCTCTGCCAGAATTAAAACTCTAGCAAGAAGGACAGAACAGGATCATACTTCTTCCTCTGTGGGTTTTATTTTGAAAAGTATTTTCCGTCAGGCTTGTGGATGATGGGTCTAGGCCAAGTTAAAAGAATGACCACCCAGAGAAGGGTTCCTGGCCCTGCAGAAACAACGTCCCGGCTGCCAACAAGGTCACCGGGAAGACCCCTTTTCTGTCTTGCTTTTTAGCAGCAGCTGGACTGAAGCTAACAGCAAGGGGCTGAGAGGGGCCATCAATTTTCTAAGACACAAATCAGCATCTCAGAAGCAAAAGCCCTAGAACTAGTCTCATTTTGTTTGAGAGAGATGCCTAAAAACAATGACCCTTGGGAGTTAAGGATCATTGTCCAATTAGCCTACAGAGCCGAAGTGACATCCACCAGTGTAGACAGAGACTTAGCAGAGCTGGAGCCCCTTGAGAGTTGAGACAGTAGCAGGGTTACAAGCTGTTACAGACTGAACTGTGTCCCCCAAAGAGATATGTTGAAGACCTAACCCCTGATATCTGTGAATGTGACCTTGAGTGGAAATAAGGTCTTTGCAGATGTTATTAATTTAACATGAGGTCATACTGGGGTAGGGTGGCCCCTAATCCATTAAGACTGGTATCCTTATAAAAAGAGAAGAGACGCAGAGAGACAAGACACACAGGGAAGAAGGCCATGTGAAGAGGCAGAGATTGAAGTGATGCATTTAGAAACCAAGTAACGCCAAGGATTGCCAGGAACCACCAGAAGCTACAAAGAAGCATGTAGCCTCCAAAACTGTGAAGGAATAAATTTATGTTGTTTTAAGCTACCCAGTTTGTGGTACTTTGTTATAACAGCGGTTGGTGGATTTGAACCGCCGACCTTTTGGTGACTAGCCGAACTGCTTAACCACTGCATTACCAGGGATCTTGAATAACAACCCTAGGAAACCAATAAACACAGCATCTTCTTCACCTCTCAAATGTTCACATCCTTTAAAACAGTCCAAGAAGGGCTATGGTGGAGGAAAGACAAGGTGGGCTGTGTAGCGTTGGCACATTACTCAAGCTAACACCCGGGGGACTGAGAGTTAAATGAGATGACACAGTCTGCTGGACGAATACCTGAGCACACAGATGGGCTCTGATGCATTCCCCTCCTCTAGCAGTTCCAGGCTTAACCCAGTGCTTCACGTCCATCACCATTCTGACCAGGTCCCTAATCACCACATGCCCCAACACTGAGGGTCAGTTTAAAACAAACAAACAAAAAAAGGACAGCTGAAGATAATCAGGATTTCTGAGAACCTAAGAGGTTGAACTATTTTGCAACTGGGAACTTTTGGAGGGTTCTACACCAGGAACATGTTCCCCAAGTATTATAGATTGAATTGTGTTCCCCCAAAATATGTGTTAGAATCCTAACCCCTATACCTGTGGATGTCATATAATGTAGAGTAATGCAATCACCTTCCATAGTGCAATCTAATGTTATGTAATGAGGCCATACCAGTGTACGGTGTGTCCTAAACTTAAGCACCTCTGAGTTAAAAAAGAGCAAATCAAACAAAGAAACACATACTGGGGAAAAGACACGCCATGTGAGGATCACCAAGAACCAAAGGAGGCCCAGGGCTACCAACAAGGAAGAGTCAAGACCTTGATCTGGATTTTTAGCTCCCAGAACTATGAGAAAAGCACTTTGTTCTTTAAAGCCACCCACACGTGGTAATTCTGTTACAGGAGCACTATAAAACGAAGACACCATTAAGAAGGCAACAGGCATGGAATCTTTTCTCCCTCTTCTCTAATCATGGCGTAAGGGGCCCTGGTAGTGCAACGGTTAAGCACTTGGCTGCTAACAGAAAGGCAGGTGGTTTGAACCCACCCACTTGCTCCGTGGAAGAAAAACCTGGCAATCTGCTCTCATAAGGATTACAGACTAGGAAACCCTATAAGGCAGCTCCTCTGTCATACAGTCGCTACAAGCTGACATCGACCTCATGGCACTAACAACAACAGTCATGGCACAAAACAGACCGAGACATACAAAGTAAAATCTGTATACGGACAAACAGCGAAAGGAAGCAGAAGGATGAGCTTCACATAAACACTTAAAAATACAACCCTGGATCAGTAAAACCTCATCTTTCAAATACTTCAGGGTCCTCTGATCCCCAAAGGAAAATTAACTACAAAATAGGAAAGTGACAGTTCTCATTACATACCAAGCTCATTTCTTTGGATTTCAAAGAAGTGGAACTTCCCGAGGAGGCCGTGGACGCTGGGCTGCTCGAAGCATCTTTCTTTAGCAGGCGGTTTTTGTCAATTCCGTTTTCCCGGGGTGAATGGGCTGGGCTCGCTCGTGGAGAAGAAGGGTCCTCAACAAGCATAGCCAAGGTTTTTATGAGTTAGCTTATAAAGGGCAGACCCTTCTTGTTACACACTCTACTTCCACACTGATTGTTAGTGGAGAACACCAATACAAAAGACTAATAAGGTTGTTATAATTAACAGAATGAATTGTGTTCCCACAATTTACAAAGCCACCCATGAAGGCACCATAAACCAAAACAAAATACAATGGATTAAAACCCCCCTCATGCTGACTTTCTTTGCCTAGAGGGGAAAGCTGTACCAGACTCTATTTAGGAATCCAAAATGATTGGGTAACAGATTATTTAAAAAGGAAGTAAGAGTTCATGCCCGTGTGACCATATTGTTCCATCTAGGAACAACCACTGAGTTGTTAACATATAAAGATGCAAGAGACTACCACACCATGCCTCTACTTCATTCATTGTTGCTGGTTTTTTAAAAAAAATTTTTATTATATTTTATTATTTTACTATAGAAGCCCTGGTGGCACAGTGGTTAAAGCGCTCAGCTGCTAATCAAAAGGTCGGTGGTTTGAACCCATCAAACGCTCTGCAGGAGAAAGATGTGGCGGTCTGTTTCCGAAAAGATTTACAGCCTTGGAAACCCTATAGGGCTGTTTTACTCTGTCCGATAGGGTCTCTCTGAATCTGAATGGACTTACAGCAATGGGTTTTGGTTTATTATAGTAAGATATATATGACATAAAACTTGCCATTTTAACCATATATGTCATAAAACTTGCCAGTTTAACCATTTTTAAGTGGCATTAATTCAACTGAGTGGCATTAATTATACTCACCATGTTGTGCAACCATCACCACACTATTTCCAAAATTTGTCATCCCAAACAGAAACAGAAACTACTTTCTGTCTCTATGCATTTGCCTATTCTAGATATTTCATATAAGTGAAATCATGTAGTTTTTGTCCTTTTGAATCTGGCTTATTTCACTCAGAGTGTTTTCAAGGTTCACCCATCATTGCTGGATTTTTCACTCAACACTATTCGAGTCCCTCTAAAGTTTGATAAAAAGAAGGGTTACCTCATTAGACACATCCACAACTAAGTTGTCATCACTTTTGTCACCATCACTATCCTGGAAAGAAAAAATTTAATGCCTCTTAGTAAAGGGCTGAGAAAGGGTTTGAAACCCAGTTCAATTCCTTTCTATAGCAGACTGGCTAAAAAATGACCTCAGATGTGCCTACAGGTTCCCTTCCAGACTGCCAGCCCTGATAACAGATACCACCTCCCCCCCTTCTCATGTGACCTGGGACTATACAAAGCCCCAGGCAGAAATCCTGCTGCAGTAACACACCAGCTACTACACAATTACAATTCGTATACAGGTGTCAGCAAGTTGTCAATGCCTGGTACACAGTAAGGGCTCAATAAATGTTTGCAAGTCAAAAGCTCTCCTGTAAACTGAAATACACACATTGTCACATCAGAGATCTTCTCCCATTTGATTTCAAATGAATGACACAATTTCCTGTCATTCTCTCATGTGTATCACCTACAGTTCAGTGCTCAGACAACCCATCATTATAGAGACAAACAAAATCAAGCCACGTTCCCGTAAGGTTCCTAGGTACTTCAAAAAAGAAATCAACACAAATAGAAAACTAAAAACAACAAGCTGGCTGCTGGCTAAAACAAGGAACCAAGATCTGGCCTCATGTTAAGACTAGACTGCTTTAGCGACTGGCTTAGAATAGTGCTGGAGGGATGGGAGGAAGGAAGGTAGGAGGTGAGTATTTGGAGGGCACTGGGACCCTGCAGTAAGACTTTTATTGTCTCTTCATAAAGCCATAAAATTTGATAATCAGAGGAAACTCCAAGGTCCTACCGAGTTTGGAAAAGATTCAGAAAAGCTGTTTAAACTAATGATCTGATCACTCCTCCATCAAGTTCAAAGCAGGCTGAAAAAACCCACTGTCTTAGCCAAAAGGCCTTAAACCCACTGTCTTAGCCAAAAGGCCTTAAACCCACTGTCTTAGCCAAAAGGCCTTAAACCCACTGTCTTAGCCAAAAGGCCTTATGTCCTTTAGTGCAGAATAATACAATGAACATATGGAAGAAGTAGGACATTGCAGTGGGTCCAAATTCTCAAAAAGGAGATGGCTTCTAATTTACCATCTAAACCATCCTCTTACTGATGTCACTGACAACTCAGAACACACAAAATTTGAGACATATTACTACAAGTGCCCATGTTGGCCTTCTGTGGGTCCCCAAGTCCAGGCTAAGGATTTTATCTTCAACTCGAACGTCTTAAGTGTTTTTGTTCTAACAGTCCCGAAAGCATTATGTGTGGGAGACCCAACTTACTTTCTTCAATGACGTGCTACAAAATATTTTAGTCATTGTTATAAAGGACCCATATAACTCAAGTGGCCCAATTCAGTAAAAACATTACAGCCAATGAGGAAGCCTGGGTAATCCAAAATAACAGCCTATGGAAAGAAATATTTTCATTCAATAAAGGAAAAAATGTATACTAAAGAAAACATGCTTTCTCTTCGTAAAGCCCACAAGAAGCATAAATGTTTTCAGCTGTTAAGAACTCCAGCAACCCAGGAAAAAAGGGGGGGGCGTGCTCAAGGTGGAGGATGATAAAGGAATGTAAGTTGAAATGGAAAAAAAAAAATAATTAGAAAAAAATTATAAAAATGGCTAAAGTAGTAATTAAACTGAACTGGCAAAAAACAGCAGACAATTACTTTATTATCATGGAACTCTGAAAGGGGGTCCTTAAGTATCCTTTAGTTTACATCTTAGCTTTGTATTGGACCCTTCTGCAAATATAAGCCTCCACAGTACAGTACATTCTTGTCATCTAAGGTCCAAAGCCTTTGCCCCAGATTCTCAAATACTTGAAATACATCATACCCAGTCATCTGTCCAACCAGATACTGAACATAGTCAGTTAGCATAGTCATGTTGAGCTCTGGATTCTAGATCATTTCACTACTAAATAACTGATTAGATACATAAGCCTCATGGAGAACAACTCAAAATTGTACACCAGCAGATTTTCAAATTTCTCTATGCTGTGGACCTTCTGATCTGTTAACTAATAGCTGTAAGAGTCCCTAGGTGGTGCAAAGGGTTAAGTGCTCAGCTGCTAACAAAATGTTGGAGGTTCAAGTCTACCCAGGAGGCACCTCAGAAGAAAGGCCTGGCGATCTACTTCCAAAAAAGCAGCCATTGAAACCCTATGGAGTTCAGTTTTACTCTGACTCACATGGGATCACAGAGTCAACTGGACACAACTGGTTATCAAAAATCAAATATACATGCAGGACATCGGCTGTGGGCCGCAGATAAGAGGAAAATTGATACGTGCTAAAAAAAAAGGTTCAAGCTAGGGTGGGGAGGACCAACAACTTTTGCCTTCAGGATATTATTAACCTATAGTGCAAAGTGTGGAAGGATTCAAGAACCTCTGCCAAAATATCCAATCCTAGCATCTCAGCTCAGCAATGTTCACATAGTGATAAAGAGCATGGGTTCTGGAGCAAGGCTGCCTCTAGGCTCTGCCACTAACTGTGACCTTGGAAAAACCACTGAAAAGATCTGTGTTTCAGCATCTTGATCTATAAAATGGAGATGATGACCACAGGGTGGTTGTAAGAGTTAAGTGAAAAGCACAGGGTACCTGGCACAGAGTTAATGCCCAAGAAAGGCTCCCTATTGTTAGCTATAGGTTTGAGCCAAAGACAAACAGGCACAGCTTTTAAACCTTCTCATAGCCTGTACACAAGCCAGACAAAGGTAAACACTTCGTTCTCCAGTTGGCGCAATTCAGCATTTTACTCTCATACAGATCCTGAGAATTCATCTATCCTGAAATAGACACTCGGGACATACAAAGAAACTCCAAGTCATGTGTCAGCTGCAATGTTTATGACCCCAAGACCAGCGCCAACGGCCATTTGGCTTGGTTTGCTCTCCTCTGGAATGTGGTTTTAGCTAGAAGATCTGTGTCAGAGTCCTCGTTGTTCCTTCAACCAGTCGTGTGATCTCATCTGCAGGGTTTGAACTACGTGCCTCTAACATTTCTTCCATTCTTCCATGGACTTACATCTCTCAACTGATCACTCTGGAGGAGGGCCAATTCTGTCCTAAGACCTATTAAGAGCTTGAATGTATTATCAGAATAGCATGCAAAAAAGGTATTTGGTGACACCAAAACTTCTACCTGGATTATGTTAGCAGGACTGGCTACAAAGTTTGCAGACCCAGGACAAAATGAAAACGCAAGGGCCCTTGTTCAAAAACTGGAAATAGAAGATGGTGACAACAGAGCATTAAACCAAGGCTCGGACAGAGGCCTTCTGAGAACAGGCCCTGTACAACAGCCCAGGTTGCATGACCAGAAAGCTGGCCCTGCATTCTAGTAACCTCTCATGTGTAGCTAAAGCAAAAAACCTAAAATGTGACAATGAGCCGGGCGAAGCATAATTTACAGCCCTAAAGGGAAATAATACCCTGTAATATAAGGAATCTATCCTCTTTACTATCTTAGTTTTTAAGGGGCAAAGAATTATCACTAAGATTTCAAAGCACGTTTGTATACTCCCTTGGAAGGTGAGCAAGTAAGCAAACAAATATTATTTCAAGTCCTTTCTTCACTTACATAGTGGCTGGAGTCCTTATCATCCACCTTTCTTTTTTTAATGTCGTTGGAAAATTCGGGCCCATTTCTGCGTTTATCTGCGCCTCTTAGATTGTCTGGTGCCAAGAGGGAATTACTCTGAAAGACAAAAATATATATATATATCTCAAAGATTTCTTCCCAGGTCTCTTTGTCCACATGAAAACCCAACCTGGATGTAATAGCTGTTTTAGAGATGTGCTATCAACATAGCCTTTCATTCCATTTAATTCATCTCATCAAGACTCTGATAGCAAACATTTATAAAGGTTTATGCCTTTAAAAGAGGAACCCACCAAAGCCTGGTGGATCCTTCAGGCCCTCTTTATTCAAAACGTTCTCCTGTTCCATTTACCTTGAGAAGAATGGAGGCTTGCTGTTTATAAGGGGATGTGTTTTTATTCTTCCCCACTGCAACTTCCTAGTCAGGAATACGAATGGCCTATGAGCAAAATTTGATTACTCTATTACACATATTCTATAAACTGTAAGAGTCACTGTGAGCCACTCTGAAGACACAAAGGAAGCGGCAGGATTAACAGTATAGCTTCCTAAAAGGCAAATCACATTTTCTACTGCAACAATGAAAGAACTCTTTCGAATTCCTTTAATTTATTGTTGAAAATAAGATTTGGTGTTCTTCGCCAATAGTACTGAAATTTAAGACCCAAAGCGAGAATTTCGGCCACTGAGTCTTCAATAGCGAGGCCAGCTCCCCCACATAAATCAAGAGCAAGGACTACGGTCATCTTTTCCTCAAACCACACAGGATACTTTCACAAATGCTGAGGACAAACTGTTGACCCAAAGAAAACAGGCAGTTTAGATATTTTGGGGTCAGATGACATGATCTGACATCCTTTCAATTCCCATCTCCCCTCAGGCTAAAGCATCAGAACATGTTACAATGAGTTCTTTTAAGTGCTGGATTAGCATATGCAAGGGGGCAATTTGCTCAGTGATGTGTTACTGCTTTGAGCAAAGCTGAATGAGCTGTGCAAAATCCTTCTTTCACAAAGCCCAGATCACCCCAATTTCTGAGAGATGTTTGAGAACCAAGTGGGGAGGGGTGTACGGGGCCAACAGACACGTAGGGTACCTTTCTCTGCCACCATTTAAAATACAAGGGGGGGAAGAAACCTGTAACTTAGACCACAACCAGTGCAATTGCAATGCTAAGTAGCAGAAGCAAATGTTTTATGGTACTTTCAAAGCCATGGGTCTTCACTCCAAACCAGCCAGAGACAATGAGTCAGGCTGGCGGGCTCTAAAAACTCCCCTAGGAAAACCGTGGACACCAGCATGGGTGCACTCTTGGTTCAACGATACATCCCATTGCCATCAAGCTGATTCTGACTCATAGCGACCCTACAGGACAGGGAAAAACTGCCCCACAGGGTTTCCAAGGCTGTAAATCTTTATGGGAGCAGACAGCCACATCTTTCTCCTGCGGATTGGCTGGTGAGTTCGAACTGTCAACTTTCAGTTAGCAGCCAAGCACTTAACCACTGTGCCACCAGAGCTCAACCACAGGGAGGAGGAAATCAGAACTGGGACCAAAAGGGAATCTGAAGCCTCCTTTGTGACTTCACGGGCTGACTTCAAAGCAAGCTCTTTATTCATGAATCGTTCACTAAACAAATGCCAGGGGGCTTATATAAAAGATGGGGGAAACCACCAAAATTCAATATAAAGAAGCTCCAAGTAATGTCTTTACCACAGTGTTTGGGGACCAGGTGAGCTTGTTGGATCACTGAACTAATTACCTTGATAAACGTCTCCTAAAAACTAACCCCTTCGACCCACTGCCTAAGAGAGGACACGAAAGACCTAACAAAAATCCCGCAAGATGCTAACAGGCATTCTAAGGGACGCTAAGCCAGGGTGAGTAGCAGCCTGCTCACATTCGTAAAAAGCGTTTAAACACACCTATCTCTGTTCTCAAAGGAGCCCTGGTGGCACAGTGGTTAAACACTTGGCTGCTAACTGAAAGGCTGCCATTTGAACCCCCCAGCTGCTCCACCAGATACAGCCTTAGAAATCTTATGGGACACTTCTACTCTGTACTATAGGGTCGCTATGAGCTGTAATCAACTCGAGGGCATTGGATCACCTTTGTTCTAGGTGCCTGGGTGGCGCAAACAGTTTGTTCTCAACTACTAGCCAAAATATTGGTGGTTCAAACCCACCCAGTGGCACTGTGGAAGAAAGGCCTGGGAATTCGCTTCCATAAAGATAACAGCCAGGAAAACCCTATGGAATATAGTTCTACTCTGTAATACCTGGGGTAGCCATGAGTTGGAATCAACTAGACGGCAATAGGTTTGAGGTTTTCTTGGGGGGTCTCTGTTCTAGATTATTTGAGCCTCGGACTCTCACTGCCCAGACTCGGAGTGGATACATCAAGGGCTGAGCTGTCTCTTGCTCAACCCTCCATCCACCCAACCTCCCAGGAGAAGGGGGCATAGTTGTGTCTACTTGCAATTCGGAAGTTCACCTTCATAGTCCTCAGGCTGTGAACTAGCTCAGTGCTTCCAAAGGACTCAGCCATTCAAAGACAGCTTATTTTTCATGTCTTATGTTTAATGATGTTAAGTGGTATTGCCAGTGTAAAAGTAAACTGCAGTTCTGTTAGGAATAATACAATTTCTAAGCCTGCCAAGCTCTGAGGAAGACACTTTCATATGTTAGAAGTTACTATTACTGTAATTCTCCCAGGAGCCAGGAGCCTATGATCCGAATGGGTCTTAAAAAGCTGTAAGAGTTCTTCTGGGGCAGTGCTGGCTCAGTGGTAGCACTTTCGCCTTCCATCGGGAGACCTGAATTCAACTCCTGACCACGCACCTGGTGCGCAGCTACCACCCATGTCAGTGGAGGCCTGCACGTTGCTATGAAGCTGATAGATTTCAGCAGAGTTTCCAAACTAAGATGGACTAGGAAAAAAGGCCTGGCAATCTACTTCTGAATATGAGCTAAAGAAAACCCTATGGATCACAATGGTCCAATCCCAGAACGGGTCATGTGGGGTCCCCATGAGTCAGGGGCTGACTCCACAGCGGCTAATGACAACAAAGAATTCCTCTCAATGTGGTAAGGGCTGACAATTAACACTCCTGCTTACCTGAAAATTGGCTATTTTCAATTAGAAGACTTCAACAAGTTACAAAACAAATGTCTCATCATACCTTTGATGCTGTCAAACTGACTCAAAACAAGGCTGCAAAGACTGTGGGCTAGAAACTCCCAGGAGACCAAGGTCAGGAACCAGGGAATTCCTGGCTTATACTGCAGCCCGCACTGGCAGGCTTTTCCACAAAGGCAGCTCCACCAAAAACGTGCCACTTCCCTTTTACCCACCCTGTTCCCACAACCCAGTTTTCTGTGTGTAATTCCTCCTGACTTCTTTCAGTCCCTGACGCTATTTCATTGCTGTTCTTGGTACACACGAACAGTCCAAACCTAATGAACTTCACTGCCAGCGTCGACAACCGTTCGGGTTTTTAACTGCTGCCTTGGTGACCCTACTCTTGGTGGTTTTCTCATTCACTCCCCAGAAGCCCCGAAGTGCCTCTCACCAGTCCCAGTGGATGTCTCATGATACCACAAGTACTTCTCCTCATGTTTTGTCCTCATGAAACAGCTAACGTTCCTCAGCGCTCAGATGTGGACTCCAGTCGTTTTGATAGTCAGTACATAAGCCAATTTACACATACCTTCAGAAGAGATTATACTTGGGTATTGATTAGACATACTTTTGATCCTTCAAAATTTTGGAAGCTATTTCTTCCTAGTCCATATCTAACAACGCAGCATTTAAGAAAAGACCGTTTTCAAAAGAGAAACTGAGGTTGTTTTGCTTTGAAAGTTATTTTTAAAGTCACTCATTCTAAACAGCATATAATTAGCATCAAAGCTTTGAAGAGCCCAAAACTAATCTAAAAAGACAAATACTGTTCATTCTCCTTCTTTTCGTGAGGATTATGATGTCCGGACAGGGGAGGAGATTTGCCTAAGGTTAAGAAGCTCTTTCTACCACATGCCAATTCCCATTATATCTAAGTGCCTCCCCCTCCCTGAAGAGTGATTTTTAAACTCATTTTATGCACCTAGAACACTGGGTCCCAAATACTTACTGCTTAAGATCCATAGTGGCTCTTTAATCTACTGTGCTTAACATTATAATGTGAGACACTGGTATCTAATGATGTCTTCTCTGCTCCTAACCACAGTCAACACACACACAGACAAGAAGCTCCTTAAAACTGAGCTGGTTATGTGCCAGCTGTTAGTTATATGTCTGCTGTCAAGATGGCCCTTGGGTCATAGCGACCCATGCACAACTTAACAAACCGCTGCCTGGTCCTGTGCCATCCCCATGATCAGCCGCAGATCAGATGGCTGTGATCCATAGTGTTTTCACTGGTGGATTTTATGGAAGTATATCACCAGGCCTTTCTTCCTAGCCCATCTTAGTCTGGAAGTTCTGCTGAAACCTGTTCAGCATCACAGCCACTAGCAAGCCTCCACTGACTACTGGGTAGTGGTTGTGTATGAGGTGCGCTGGCTGGAAAACGAACCCTGGTTTCCCGCATGGAAGGCAAGAATTCTACAACTGAACCACCACTTCCCTCTTTGGCTATATGCCTACCACACCAAAATGTGAATACATAATCAGTACCATTTTAATACTTTAAAATGATCTGAGAATAGTCCCAAATTCCTGACTTAGCACCCATGAACTCCGGCATACGTAAATTAAGATTCACATTTAAAATACCTCCACAGAGAGTGACAAGAAGTACAAGTTCACACAAATAGTACTGATTTTATGTAATTCCAGGCATGGTGGATGGTGGGTCTACAGACTCATTTGCTACGACAGACTTTTCTCTCCGGGATCTATATTTTGAAAGATCTAAATCTATCAAACAGCATTTATCAAGTAAAATTCAATTTTCAAATATTATTTGCCAAACAAATATTTAAGCATGAATCAGGGTTTTGATCAGCATGAGAACTGGTGTTACTACAGTGACTGATATACTCAAATTCTAGCCAAGAAACTCGATGTTTTGGTTCACCTTGCACCTGGTACAATTTAAATATCTGCCAGAATTTTTCAAACACTGTAAACATTGGGCAGACATCTATTACAAATGTCCCAAGGACTAGGATTTCTGGGCTGTATATAAGTTTTCCTTTGTTTTAAAATTTTGTTAGGAACTAAACAAAAGCATCTTATTTATCTCACATCTTCTACAAAAACTCAAAATAGAAGTTATACAGCCCATGGAAAATATTACAGATTTGAGCAAATCAAAATCTGAAAACACAGTTATGTTTTCAAAACAAACTAGAATTCTATTCTTCAACAAAACCACAATTATTTTCTACACCTTATGTGTTACACACACTTACGGGTATAGTTCCAAGTAAAATGGTAGAGGGAGAGGCGTATCTGGCAGGTCTTTCAAAAAAGATCCCGTTGGAATGCTCGGTTCTAGAGACAGAAAGAGGGCCCCGAAGACCCATCAGCCCAACTAGCATGACTTTCTCTCCAGTTATATGTAGATGCAGCCCATGGGATGGCTAGAGGAGGTGCAAGCACAGAGAAAACATGGGAAGAGACCACTCCCTCTTAGGAAAATTTGGGATTTTTTGAGAACATAAAATCTCAGTGGGCATCTTCACAGGCAACAGGAGAATTGTCCCATATTATTTATATATGCTTCCTGAGTGTCACGGCTACTGGCAGTAACAGTGATGTGACAGTTAAGGACAGTATGAGAGTGAGCAAAGAGCCAATGTGACAGGTCTTCCAGTATTACACCCGGCGTCCATTGCCCTGAGTAGTCAAATCCAGACTCATGCTCTGGAGCACAGTTTCTTAACCGCGGGAACCATGTTTTATAAACACACATGCCAAATGGATGGATAGTGTTGATGGTGTCACAACATGGTGACTTTAATCAATGTCACTGAATTGTACACTTAAAAATAGTTACAACGGCAAGCTTTTTGTTAGATATATTTTACCAAAAAAAAAAAAAAAAACCAATATACCAGGGCCTTTCCGTGTTGTAGTTAAATGGATGCAATTTAACTAGTTAGTTGGCAAAGTGTGTGAACCTAGTGGGTAACAAGTATCCAATACAGTCTCTCAAAATAAACAGAATGTAATTATTAAACCATACTTTCATATAAGAACTTTCAGCGCAAATAGAAGAACCTACTGAATCCCAAAGAGCATCCAATTTAGTCAAAATAAAATGTCAAGATTTGGACTCTATATTACATTTATCCTAATCTGACCATTATGGACAACGATTCTTTCACATCCATGCTCTAAACACCTACCCAAGACAAAGGTAGCAAAGATCCAGCTGCCACAATAAAGATAAAAACCAGTCTTTAAAGTCTTGTTCCTAGACTTTTCCTTATCAATTTAACAGGAATAATTGTTCATGTACGCTAATATATTTTGGAAGGTAACTCCAGAAAATATGAAAGAAAGACAAGTTTAACGAAACATACAGTTGGTGCAGAAAACTTGTTACAGAGCCTTCATGTATCCTGGGACCTCAAAGCACCACTTCTGCCAACCAAGTCTAAATGTTGAAACCATCAGCAGCAAATCTAAAAGGAAAACTCACTTATGGATACAACAAAAGCTAGACAGGTTTCCCTAATGTGAAAATAATGCACATTATTCAAATGGATTTCTTTAGCTGCCTTGCTGATTCCCCTTGGGAACTTTCTCCTCCCTGCAGGAAAAGTGTTTGTGTCAGAGGTACAGATTGGAAACTCATGACACCTCATTTATCCTCAGTTACACTAAGGCAGTGGGAACCTAATTTGCTAGCACACTCTACACCGTCAATTAACTTCTCGACAAACATTAAAACAATTAGGCAACAACACACCCCATCACATCTGTGTGCCTTCCCCATCTATACTTGGCACCAATTAAGCCGTCACCCTGCGCTGTACTTTTTGCTGCAGTCCAACTGGTCACTCACATATCATATCCTGCTCGACGCTGCAGTAAATGCTTTTCTTAATCCATAAAACTGATGGGATCCCCACTTGTCAACAACATGAAAAAAATGGAAATGTGTCCACCTGGCAACCACATCACACATGAAAAGCCCTGGCTGTACAGCAGGTCTGAAAGGTACACATCTATTGCTTATACAGTTTAAACGTGAAATGTAGGAGACAGCCACCGTGTTCTCACACCCTGACCTAAGAATAAAGCACTGCCCAAATGCATCCGAATGCAGACGGGAGACTCAGTCACACAGATTCACAGAACCAGTGACGATTAGGGCTGGAAAGGGTATCAACCCATACAGTACCCTCACTGTCACCCTCTATGATGCCCTCCCCCCACGCACCCCCACAACTTGTCCTTCGGCCCTCCTTCTCCAGACAAAACAAAAACTCTGGAACTGACAAAAAGTATTTATAAAAATAATTTTAAATGACCTCATTCCACAACTCAGAATCTTATGAGAGGAAAAAGTAATTTCTATATTAAAGACCTTTTTTACAAGCATGCTCTGTAAGAGCTACTTAGCTGTTACTGACTGGCCCTCCTAGTTCTCCAGTCTTTGATGAGGTACATTCAGATGCAGGAAAAGGCCCTGAAACTGGCCAGGACAAAACTGTGTGAATTATTTGGATACTTCACAGCTCTTACATCCACATCTCTAGGAGTCCTTTGGTACAAATGGTTAATGCGCTTGCCTGCTAACCAAAAGGTTGGAAATTTGAGTCCATCCAGAGGTGTCTGGTGAACTACTTCCAAAAAAGCAGCCGTCAGAAACTCTAATGGAGCAGTTTTCTACTGACACACACACTATGAGCTGGAATCAACTCCATGGCAACTGGTTACTGATCACATGAAAGATGGAGGCTCCAAGTTCGTTACCTACCTTTGTTCCAGAGAGGGAAAGATAAAAACGATTATGGGGGTCAACAAAATAAACAAAACCTGCCCAAGATGGTGGACATGAAGTTTTCTGATTACTGAGCACAAACTGAAGTCTAAAAAAGGTGTAAGAAGGGGAAAATGTTCTCTACCTGCCTTTTTTAAATTAAAAAAAAAAAAAAAAATTAAAGAAAAGATGCCCTATTTTCACTGCAGTCACAGGGCTTTGAACTGGTTTGTTCTGGGTGGACCCCCAGATATACTGAATCAGATTCTACATTTTAACAAGATCTCTGGGTTACATAAGAATCACCTGAGCCCTTGTTAAAATGTAGATTCTGATTCAATGTATCTGGGGTGGAAATGAAAATTCACAGCAGGGGGGTTAAACCAGACCAAACCCGGTTCGAAGACCTGAATCACAGTAAGGTAATATCTGACCATTTATCCAGTTGCACATAGGCCCCAATACCCACCTGCTCAGTTCCCTCATCCAGAGTAAACAGATGCCATGTACCACCTGGTGCAGGTACGTGACAATCTAGAAACCCAGGCTTTCCTTTCTTCAGGGATTCACCCTTCTCATGGCAGTGATGCCAGTTTTCCAAAGGGGATATATATATATATATAATTTTAAGAATACAGTTTTAAATTCTGTGAAATGAAAAGCCACTGAGGCAACTGCTAAGAAAACTCAGTGTTTTCTACTATGCCTGAAAATTAAAATTTTAGTAATTAATCTTGTTTTATCGATTACTTCCAGGCAATTCCTTGATATACATCGGGTCAAGATTAACTTATAAATACTTAGGTGAAAACATTCCTCCTACTCTCGTTTTACCTTTGATTAATTTGAATATCATGAGACAAATGAAGTTAAAAAGAGGGTGGGATCAGTTTCCTGGTCCCGGCATACTGAGAAACACCAGTAACCACCACTTTGTCACAGGATCCCTCACATCCACAAGTGCTTTGTCCACAGAGCTCACATAATTTGTATTTTAAAAAGCAAGGAAAGGAAATTACAAATCATTACCCGGAGCGTGACCAATAATGCATTTACTGTTGTCTTGCTATGCTGCAGAAAAAGAGAGGGCAACATTCCTGCTATGCTCTGACGCCTTCCAGTCCCTTAACCCTCACTCTGTGAGGCAGCGGCTATTACCACTGTTTCACACAAGTCCAGAAAGGTAAAAGGGTGAAAAAACTTGCCTGTGCAGCCAGGATTCCCCTCAGGTCTACCTCTGTCCAAGACCCATGTTCTTTTTATTATCCCCACCTCTCCCCACCCCCTGCTGCTGCGGTCCCAAATAGCCACTGGAGTTAATGAGATGTATATTTTTTTAACTTTAGAAAAAGATCAACAATAAAATATTCTCCAAATCAAGCCTTGCATTTATCCCTCCCTTGCCCTCTATACTGCTTAGGTGTTGATTTGACAAAAGAGAAAGCAGTGGATAGTCCTTAGCTAGGATCTGGTCCTACCTCCGCTATTTAACTATAACCAATCCAGTAGCCATGAAGAATGAGAAAAGTTAGAGAAGAAAAACAAAATATAGATTAAAGAAACTGAATGACTGGCATAACTAACTTATTAAATAAGTTCTAAATACGAAACCCTAATAAATTTAGAAATCAGTTACAGGAGTGTCGACACAATCCTTCAGAAAGACATCATCTAAATCTCAGCCTTTGCTGACTAACAGATCCCCAACCTCCTTGAACTTGTCTTATTGATAAAATGATGGTGTTGAGCCACAGGGCATCAAAGGCAGGTGAATGGTGCTTAACTTTTCTGAGTCAGGGACCCCTTTTCAGACTGATGAAAATCATGCTCTCTCCCCGCAATTACGCACAAGAGCAGAGATCCACAGTGCTCTGTAGCAATTTCAGGGGGGCTCAAGGGCCTTCTGAAGCCCACCAGTGGACCCTAAGTTTACAGACCCTCTGCTCTGGAGTGTGCCCTAGAGTCTCCAGAGTCTTCTGCCTTTTCTAAAAGTTCTATACAGTGATCACATGGGTTAGGTTATTTCAATGTTCTTCATTCATTTTAACAAACATTTAACTGGGACCTCAAGGGGGATCATTGCAAAATGGCAGCAAGTATACCCAGTGCTTCAAACAGTCCTTGGCACACAGTAAGTGCTCAATAAGTATTTGTTAAATGAATGAAAGTACTTAAGCACACATCCTATCATGTATATTTTTAAAAGCCATGTAACTACTTACCTATTCTCTAATTCCATTTAATATCCCCATAAGCAATAGCCAATATTTAATATATCTTTAATTGAAATATCTAAAGTTATTTTTAATACTACTGAAGAAATAAAGGCCTCTGTTAGATCATTTCACATTTGTTAAACCGTAGCACTCTGTTAAGCGGACATTTGTAAAAAAAAAAAAAAATATATATATATATACACACACACATATATTTTGAGAATTAGAAAAACAGTAGTCAACTCTGTTTACAATCAACAGCAAAATATACCTCTAAAAAGTTACTAATTTTTATCATTCATCTCTTTTAGAAATAAAAGAAGTGTCCATATTTTCCACTCAGTACTTTCATTTCTTAGCTTTTACATAAAAATGGGTTGTATTAAGCTTCACTTGTTTTTCTACCATATTAACTTTAAACTAACAAATTGAGTAATTTTGTTATTAAAAAAAACACTGCATACCAACCAGTTTTAGGCTTAGAGATAAAATCCATACCTACCCACATACCCTCTGATTTTTGCACTTGACATAAATAATTTGATCAACACATAAACAGGGAAAAACTAAGACGAAGTAGTTCTGACAAAATTCCAGACTGGTGTAACCCCATGGCAACAGTTCTCAAAGTCAGGTTCAAGGGCCCCTGAGGATCCCAGAGACCCTTACAATTGTATATGAAGCCAGATTTTTTTCATATCTTCAATCAAAACAATGTATAACAACAGAATGAATACAGAAGCAGCTGAGAATCCAGCCATTCTCTTTTAAAGCCACACATTGAAGAGATTTGTGAACATATAGAACAAAGCCACACTTCCCTCTAAATTTCTGTTTTAGAAAAGTTATTTATGTTAATATGTAATGGGTAATATATAATTTTTAAGTGATTTTAAAATTCTGTGTTTTATGCTTCGGTTATTTTAATTTCATGTTTTAGTTCTAAACTAGTAAATATCAAAACATATAAACTCATATAAAATTCCTTGGGGTCCCCAATAATTTTAAGAGTGTAAAAGTTTGAAACTAGTGTCCTATAGCAACAGCAGTCCAGAGCAATCAACTGACTTTCTCAACTACCAACTGAAATTAAGACTTCATGATTCAAACCACTTTATTAAACAGATGAGTACTGTAATGTTTGGCACTAACAGCTGGCATCATGTCATTACCTATGCCTTTTGTATTCAATTTTACACAACGTTTGAAGAGCTACTGTCTTAGTTGTCGAATGCTTCCATGACAGAAATACCACAAATGGGTGGTTTTAACAAACAGAAATTTATTTTCTCACAGTTTAGGAGGCTAGAAGTCCCAATTCAGGGTGCTGGCTCTAGGGAACGGTTTTCTCTCTCTTAGCTCTGGAAGAAGATCCTTGCTTCTTCTGAGCTTCTGCTCCTGGACAATTTTCATGTGGCTTGGCATCTCTCTTCCCCATCTCTACTTTTTGCATGCGTATTTAATCTTTTTCATATCTCAAGAGAGAGTAACTCAAGACACACCCTACACTAGTGTTGCCTCATTAACATAAGAAAGACAACCCATTCCCAAATGAGATTATAAACAAGGGCATACAGATTAGGAATTACAACACATATTTTTGGAGGACACAATTCAATCCATAACAGCTACTTAATTTTATTTTTTAACTGCAGTAAAATCCCACTTAATACGGATAGTAAGCAATTTAATTCCTCTTGACAGACTACATCAAATGTTTACGTTACAGATTAGTGTAGTTTTCCCATTTTTATATCATCAGCAGCAAAGTAGTATTTTGCAGTAATTCATCAAGAAGGAGCGTATACATACTTATTCTGCAAATACTCATTAAAATGAGTGTCTGATGCTTTGTCAAAAATTTGGTATGAAAAAGGACATGCAATGATACATAAGTCGTTACTATTTTATAGATTGGTTTATATAGCATATATACCACATTTTCACTGACTGCTAACTCTAACACAGTCAACCCACAACTGCCTAAAATCCAAGAATGACTGTACTTCAAGGGTACAAATAATCATCCTTCCTCCACTCACCTGACTCTCATCCCCACAATGAATTAAAAAACTGCTTACATTTTTCAGCCAAAAATACAAATTGGAAGTTATTATACTAAAAAATACGGACACATGGAATAGTACGAGAAATGCCTCTAATAGCTTAAGTGTGCAAACCACTTATTCATGCCACTGTCATTTCAGAGGTGCAAACCGTGGTATCACTTCTACAACCGTCTAGAACTTTTGCTGAAACTTTCTATACTTATTTGTTTTAGCAGAGGAGACTTTGACTCTTTGAGATAGGGCCTGTGAATATGTGTGCAGATACAATTCCCATACTGTCTTATATATGCTTCAGCACTTAATAAATATACAGTAATTTAAACTGAAACCAATTGGTGGGAAGAATAAAAAGTTAAAATACAGTCCCAAACCTAGAGTAAATTATAAGCACGTAGTAAGCTAAAGGACAGGAGCTTTCCTGACATATTGTCTTCTTCTGCCATCTCTAGCCTCTGGTCCAGGATTAGGTATTTGTATTTGACACTCTAGTGAATGAACATGGCAGAAAAGATGACACTCTACAGGGACACTGAAACAGCAAAACATAAATGTCACCTCCATAAATCAAAGTCAGTTTACTTACGTTTGTACTTTGTGAGTAGGATATTTTACTCCCTAGCTATACATTTTTTTCTCCCCTCTTCTCCTTCCAACATTTTCCAGAGAAAATTTCTAGTACAAGAATTTAAAAACCAGCTACCTTTTCCCTTACCCACTCTTCCAAACACACTCTGATACATAAAGTACACCAAGATATCTCAAAGAGAATTTCAGAAGTAGCTACGCATTCTAGGTAGTAGAAAAAGAGAAAAAAGAAATTTTTAACTTTCCAAATTGGAAAAGATTTGTATATCTTCCCCCAAACTCTCAACAAAAACAGTAGCAGAATACTGCAAAAGTTCAGTATCCCATCTTTTACCATTTTAGATTTAAGACAGTCAAAATTTAAGATTTAAGAGACGCATTTTAGACATGGATCTCCCACCCAGCTAACTGGTGGACAGATATACGTACAAATCAAACGTGTATTATGTGCAAAACGGGGTTAAGACTTAGGCTGCTGAAAAGATGAATTCTAGAAGCACACAGCCTCATCTGTTGAATTTCCTTATTTTCAAGGGCTTATTCATGCTCGGCTCTTTGATCTAAAATAAATTTAAGTTCAAGTTCACCCCCCAAGGACAATTAAGAAAAGAAAGCTAGATATGGAAACCTAGCAACTAAGATGCATTCGCAGAGGATAATGAACAGCTTAGGTAGAAGTAACACATTACAAACCAATTTCACCTATGGATTTTGACCTCTTATGTGTAAAACTGATTATATATATATACATATTTTATTTTTTTTAAATGACAGGCAACCTGGCCTCAGAACATAATAATAAACATATTTTTAAGTGGGGCTAGGACACATATAGATCAAAGTATATACCCAAGTGGGTAATCATAGCAAACAGTTTTGCCCCATGCCCCTTTCATCTAACCCAAGTTTTATAGAAAAGACAAGAGGGAGGGAAATAGTCATACCAAAAAAAAAAAAAAAAAGGGTGGCGGGGGATCCCGGGCACTGAGAGAAGGGAGAGTATGTGTGTCTGAGCCTGTGTTTGAAGGAAGACAGCTTGGAAAGCATTGTAGGAAAGAGCGTGTGTTTATGTGCAGCAGGCGCTTGGGTACTTACTGTGCCCGGTTCTCTGTCTGCTCCCGAGGTAACCAAGAAACGCACAGACATGCCCGTTCAGACACAGAGGCAAGAACAGAAATAAAAAAAAGGGGGGAATAATTAGAACACAAGCCCCAAACAGTTTTAAAAATGGCTTTTATTTATATGTCATTGCACATTCCTAATACAGTGATTTCCTGAAAATTACAGTATTTTGTAAACATAAGATTTACAGTTTAACCATACACAAAGCCTATTTTTTTTATTTCTTGACAGAATAAATTACTTTTCTTCAAAAAATTAGTCAAGTGCAATTTTGCCCAATATTTAATGCATACTAGAATTAAAGCCTATGAAACTAAGTAGTAACAGATGCAATTATCAAACCTTTCATTTGAACACATTCACTTTCAAATTTAACTTCTTATTTCGCCCCATTTAACAACATTACTTTCTTTGAAAATTACCCAATTAAGCAGTTAACAGTTTTCCATAATATGGTACAGGCCACTGGCATTAAATAAGCCGTTGCCAAGATGTCAAGATGCCTGCAATCTAAAGAGATTGAGAAAGCTACAAATCTCCACGTCAAGCCCTGAAAACTTCCAGGGTGAACCGTGTTTCAGTGGCAAAGCTTTGCTACAGTTCCTCTTATCTCATTGTTTTCTCTCTGTATAGGGTGGGGCTTTCGTTAGCGATGCACACAATTTTGCAGCACTGTATGAGTATTAGGACCAAGTCCTAATCTGGCTTGCCCGGCCTCTCACCTCTGTGGTGCTCTGCATCATGGTGCTTCTTGTCATCTTTTATTGCCAAATGAGATTGCCCACTCAGGGCACTGGACAGCGCCAGGAGGCCGGCGCTGCCCCCGAGTGGTGGGATTCCAGGAGGCTGAAGTCCCGAAGGGTGAGGTGTGAGGGGTACTGGGGGTCCATGGCCGTGGGAGAGATGCTGAGCTTGTAACTGCTGCTGCTGTTGATGGCGGTGGTGGTGGGAGAGGAGGAGGAGGAAGAGGAGGAGGAGGTGGTAATGGTGGTGGTGGTGGCAGCATCCAGGAAAAAGCAGACATGATATGAAATGATGGAAGAAACAGAACAGGTTAAACACACATGAAGGAAGTGAAGGAAGAAACAGGGAGAAAAGGGGAAAAATGTGATTAGTGCTTTCACTTCATCAAAAGCTTCTTTTACCTACTCAGTTCTCTCTCCCCGTCTCCCCCAAATATAATCCTCAGATCTACACTGTAACTTTCTGGCATAACTCACCTGCAATGAGTGGAGCTGGTTACCATTAGCAAGCCTGGCTAAGCTGGTAAGCATTCAAATATTAGTTCCACCTCTACAGGCCTCCAAGTATAAAACCCAGTGTCTCTGAATTTAAGATGCCAGAGATTTAAGACTCACTCTGTGTTGGGGGAAGGGGGTGCATCTGAAAAAAAAAACAGTAACCCAACCCTACTCTCAACTACCAGTACCCACTGCGGTCAAGTTGACTCCAACTCATGGCGACCCTGTGTCTGTCAGAGTAGAACTGTGCTCCATAGGGTTTTCAATGAATGGTTTTTCAGGAGTCAATCACCAGGCCTTTCTGTCAAGACACCTCTAGGGGGACTTGAACCTCCAACCTGGCTTGCAGCCAAGAACATTAACCATTTGTACCACTCAAGGACTCCAGTTACCAGTTATTAGGTGACTCCATTTTACCCCTGTACTCTTGCACTAACTTACCACAATGGTATGCTGAGACGAAACAAAAATACTGTCTTCAATTAACAGAATCCAAAAGAAGAAAGAAATAGTATCTGGATTGTCAATTATGCACCACACAGGCACTTGTATGACCCTTACTTCATTAAACTCTCACAGAACTATGAGGAAGTTGGAGTATTCTCTCCTCACACAAGGAATGAAGGCTCAAAAGACGTCTAGTAAATTGATGAGCTTCTCCCACTAGGCAGGAAGGCACTGGAGTCAATGAAGAAATGACCCCTAAAGCTGAGCCCTCTTTATTGTACTGTCATAAAACAGAGTGGATGTTTCGGGGAACCATGCTTGCCGTAGCTGGAAGAAACCTTAAGGTAACACTGTTTATCCCTCCTTTCTCCTAAGCCCTGCATCTCAACCCCACCACTTCTATGTTACAGGTGAAAACGCTGACACCTAGAAAGGTTAAGATCTTGACAAGGAAAAGTAGCTTTAACCAGTGTGTGGGACTCTAACCACGCTTATGCAAGTCCCCAACCCCAAATGCCTTTTCCACGACATCCATTCCAGAAATTATAAATCTGTTCACATTAAAAGTATTGTTGCTCTCATATGCTGTATTTAACACCATGTTGTACAAAATGAGAAAGTATCCAAGAAATGGCCCCTGCACCATAAATCTGGACACATTTCAGCTGTCCAACATAAAACTCATTCTTGATGAGACAGTAGAAATGATTAAAGCTCAATTTCCAAGGTGTAATGTTAGAAAATTCTCAAGATTCTGATTTGTGCTCACTTCCCTGGGATTCAATTACTTGTTTTATTTATTACTCCTTTCATGTAATGAATTTTACTAAATCTTCACGCCAGATCTTCAGTTATTTCCACCCAGAACACTGGTCTTTAAATTGAGTCCTAAACATGCTTCTTACCCTCAAGAAGAAAACGGCATCAGTGAACACCAGAAATCAGCTGTCTATGGTAATTTTACAGTAAATTTCCAACCACACCTAGCAGCTTTAAGAAAATCTTCAGGAGCCAACCTTTTTTTAAAACCTCCATTCCTTCCAAAGCGAGCACAGTTTTAATTAGAGGAAAAATGCAAAAGGAGGTGAGGTCAGAACAGTCAGCATTAGTAGTATTCGTGGAGAGTATTTATAAACTACTCATTCACCATTTGAGATCATAATAACAATTTTCTATACCCATAAAATCACCTTCCTGTCATCCCAAAGACACTAATTCTTGCTCTGTCGCCTTTTAATAGCTCGGCAATAGCAAGACATAAAACTGAAGGAGCTGGCAGCAGCGTCACGGTCCACTAGGCATGCTCATTAGCACTTAATTAGAAACTAGACACCTGCCATAAGAAATGTGCTCAGAGAAGGATGAGGAACAGGTCTGCCCTACTGGCAATTACTATCATTACTTGGAGAGACAGAGCTATGTCCGGCTTGTGGGGTGGGGAGTGCAACGATGCATACACAAGCAAGTGCAGCAGGGTAATTAAGCACAGCATTGATTAAAGGAGATGAGCGAGGCTAAGCAGAGGGGAAGGAAATTAACCACAGGGTGGAGGACACCATCCTATCACCACCCATCCCCCAAAACACCAAGCATGGAGTCACCAGAAGACTTCAGAGATGGAGTTTTACGTCAGAGTAAACATAGGAGAAAAAAAAAAAGCCTGTTGCCATCCAGTTGGCTCTGACTCATGGCAACCCCACGAGTGTCAGAGAAGGACTGTGTTCCACAGAGTTTTCAATGGCTATGACCTTTCGGAAGTAGAATGCCAGGACTTTCTTCTAAGGCACCTCTGGGTGGATTCAAACCATCACCCTTTCAGTTAGTAGCCACGCGCTTAGCCGTCTGCACCACCAAACACATATGCAGGTAATATTTGAATACACAAGAAAGAAGGAAAGATACTCCCCCAAACCCAAGTTAGCTTTTAGAAAGAGGAACTGGAAAACAGAACAATGATGTATTACTGAAAAGAAAGCCTAGTGTCTATAATAAACGGGCTTCACCATGGCTGTGAAATAGACGTGTCGTTAAACCCAAAATGTAGGCTAACAATTATCAACAGGGATATTCAACAGCCTAACTGGCCATGGGTTGACTCCACTGGTACCCGGATCTCACTTCCCAGGTGCCTTGAAGTAACAGATCACTGTCTGTTATTAGAGGTAACTGGCCTCTTCCATCCTTAGTTTGGCCATTTTGAAGTTTTTTTAAAAAAATCTATCAAACTAGAAGGAGTACTATGCAGTGATGTGATAGGATGGATCACAACTGTTGAAGATGCTGTGGTACAAGAAATGCATACACTACTATCTCTCATTCTATTTTTTTTAATGTTGGTGTCCAGGGCTCATAAATAATATTTTCATGCCATTATTCAGCCTGAGCTCAGAACATGCCTGAAGAATGGAGTGTGGCATCACTGCTCCCATTTCATAGTGATTACGTTGCTGTTGTTGTTAGCGACTGCTGAGTCAGCCCGACTCACGGCGACCCCATGTACAACAGAACAAAACGCTGCCCGCTCCTGAGCCATCCCCATGACCGATTTCGCATCAGACCATTGTGATTGATAGGGTTTTCACTGGCTGATTTTCGTAAGAAGATTACCAGATTTTTCCTCCTAGTCTGTCTTAGTCTGGAAGTTCCGCTGAATCCTATAATCCTATATCCAGCATCACGGCAACAGGCAAGCCTCCACTGACAGACAGGTCATGGCTGTACATGAGGTGCGCTGGCTGGAAATCAAACCTGGGTCTCCCTCATGGAAGGTGTGAATTCTGCCACGGAACTGATACTGCCCCCATACTCAGAGATACATCCACTGTCACTGCCTGGCCTTGATGGCAGTGACAAATCGAGTTTGTGCTTAGATGTGCTACCAGTGAGTGCTGGTATGGACTGAACTACGTCCCCAAAAAAGTCCTAAGCCCTGTACCTGTGTATGTGACACTTTAGAAATAGGGTCTTTGCAGATGTTATCAGTTAACATGAGGTCATACTGGAGTAGGTGGGTCCTAATCCACTCTGAGTGGTATCCTATGAAAGGAGAAGAGACAGAGGGAAGACAGCCACGTGAACACCGATTTATACTGCTGCTACAAGCCCAGGGGCCCGTGGGGCTACCAGGAGTGGGAAAGAGACAAGAAAGGACGTTCTCCTAGGGCCTTCGGAGCAAACACAACCCTGCTGACACCCTGAATTCAGACTACTAACCTCCAGAACCATGAGAGAATAAAGTTCAATTGTTTTACGCTGCTCACCTTGGGCTACCTGGGTACGGTAGACCGAGACAGGATATAAGAGTCATCTCTCTAGTCCCAACTTCCCAATGCCTATCCCTACATTTGAAAAGAGAGGCTATCCCTTGCTTCCGCCTCTCTTCCAAGGAAGTTTGTAAAGAATACTAAAGACTAAACAAAGATGCTTCTGGCTTCTCTCAGAAGTAGGTGATTAACAACAAGAAGTTCATTTTCAAGATAAAACACTGCATCTGTCCTCTACAGACCAAAACCCGTAGATAACATTTGGGAAACCATTAAGACGGTTTAAAACATGATAGCAAGGGTGGGAAAATTCAACCATCTATACATTCATTCCAAAATCAAAACCAAACCCACTGCCTTCAAGTTGATTCGGGCTCACAGCAACCCTATAGGACAGAGAAGAACTGTCCTATATAGGGTTTCCAAGGATGTAATCTGTACGTCAGCAGACTGCCACCTCTTTCTCCCACAGAGCAGCTGGTAGGTTCCAAACGCCAACCTTTCGGTTAGCAGCCGAGCACTTAACTGCTGTGTCACCAGGGCTCCTTATCCATTCATTAGTTCATGATAATTAGCTAACATTTTTAAAAAAATTAACACTTGCAGATTTACACAGGACAGAACAAACATGCAAAACTGTTTGTAAAGCTATTGTTAGAAAATGGTGGTTTTTAGCAAAACAGTTGCGGTTCTCAGGCTATCAATCTAGACTGGGGACATCTGGCAATGTCTAGAGACATTTTTGGTTGTCACAACTGCTGGAAGATGCTTCCGCTAGTGGGTAGAGGCCAGCAATGCTGTTAAACACTACAATGCACACGACAGCCCCCCACAACAGAGAATTATCAAACCCAAAATGTCAGTAGTGCTGAGGCTGCTGAAAAACTGCGGTCCAGATCTAAGCCTGACCTGTGTCCCATTACATGAGAATTCGTGCTCTTGCGTGCCAAGCGGATTGCCAAAGTGTTATTTCAAAAATAAGAACACTTTTAAACATTCACGTATTCCCTGTCCCTTTATCAACATCCGAGCACACTGTCACAACTCAAAACTTGAGCATCTGCTTTCTAGAGCTGCCTCCACTACCAATTCCAAACTAAACCAAAAAGAAGAAAAAATTCATATTTTATAAACAATTTGGGAAAGAGCTGGCCTGGGAACTCTTCATACTGGTGTTGTGGTGCTCAAAGTGGATCATGGCAAGGTTAAGGTTTAGGGAGAAGGAGATAATGCACTTGCTCTTTACCCAAACAATTTAAGAAGGCTGTGAGTGAGACAAGTAAAACACATACCAAGCCCTGGGTTCATGATACCTAAAAGCCTCAAAGAATAAAGGAACCTTACCCATGTCAAACAACAGCCACACATTTTAATTCCCATTTTACCTAGTGCAGCGCAAGTCAATTAGGTCACTATCATGAAACTGACTTTGCTGTTTACATTCAGGGTTTTAATGGAATGGTGTGGTGGTTTCTATATTTCTGCTCCTATAACGCAGGTACAGCCCATGCAGCCATACCACCGAACTGCCTATACAACTACGAAGGACACCCAGTATGAGAACAAAGGCCAACACCAGTTTTATCCTCACCAGATGCTGAGCTCTGCTCTGCCAATCCCTGAACCAGCTTTAATTTCTGTAATCTAACCCACTTCATACCTTTAAGAAAACTATGTCACAAAGATCACAAACTTAACCCAACCACAACTGAAATCCATGCCCTGAAATGTCATCTCTGATGCTAAAAGAGTGACAGTAAGTGGTATTTATAGCACTTGGTATTTAAACACTTAAAAAAAAAAAAAATGTGAAAAGTAGCATTTGTTGACAGTTCTCTCCAAATCACTCTTCCTTGATTTCTGCTATTTCTCTGTTCTTTAAAACACTCTATCTTGGGAGGCTGCAGGAAAAAAAAAAATTGGTATGCTACAGTGAACAAGTAGGAAAGGGCTGTCTGGCAGCAGAAACATCAAGGACACTGCTACAGAAGTTATCTGAAAACCTCCCATTATGTGAATGGCCTCTCTCCTAAAGAGGGGCAAGGGTGATAAACAGGCAGGAACTGCTTACTGGGGCCAAGAATTCTCAAATCACTTGCAGACAATAAAAAAAAAAAAGTAACATCCCCTTGAAGGGCCCGTCTCAAAGAAGGAGTGCAGAGATAAATTGACACACAGAGGCAAAAGGATGGCGTATCTGGAGGCAGGCTGCAAGAGCAAAGAACCTAAACCTCTAAGAAGGATTTGAACTCAATTCTACTCCTCGGAGTCCTCGAGCGGTGCCAACAGTTAAGCGCTGGACTACTAATTAAGAGATTGGCGGTTCCAACCCACCCTTTCAGGACCTATGTTTTGGAGGAAAAGCCTGGTGATCTGTTTCCAAAAAGTCACAGTTACTAAAACTCATTAAGAAGCAAAGAAGTCGCTTTGAGAACCAAGGTGCTCCTGACCCAAACCATGGTGTTTGCAAATCACCTCCTGTGCGTGTGAAAGTTGGACAATGAATAAAGAAGTCCAAAGCAGAATAGATGCATTTGAATTATGGTGTTGGCGAAGAATACTGAACATGCCATGGACTACCAAAAGAACGAACAAATCTGTCTTGGAAGAAGTACAGCCAGAGTGCTCCTCGGAAGCGAGGATGGCAAGACTTCGTCCCACATACTTTGAACATGTTATCAGGAGGGACCAGTCCCTGGAGAAGGACATCGTGCTGGTAAAGTAGGAGGTCATCAAAAAAGAAGAAGACCCTCAATGAGATGGTTGACACAGTGGCTGTAACAATGGGCACAAACACAGCAACGACTATGAGGATAGCACAGGACAGAGCAATGTTTCGTTCTGTTGTGCACGGGGTCGCTATGAGTCAGAAGTGACTTGACGGCACCTAACAACAATAACATTAAAACACTATGAAGCAGTTCTACTCTGACACACATGGGGTTGCCATGAGTTAGAGTCAACATGAGGGCAACTGCTTCGGTTTTCTTTGTTTTCCATTCCTTCTGAATGTCAGCTCGTCCATGTAGGCCAACTCATCCTGCACAGCCACCCTGCCTTGTTTGCCCCACCTTCCCTGGATGGACTTAAGGGTTGTGACAATGATCAGAGCCTTAGGATTTAAAGGCCTAAATTAGAATAAGTTTTTAAAGTCCATGTTTAGATATTCTTCAAAAACCACACAGTGCACATGAAAAGATGCTCCACATCAGTAACCATCAGGGAAACGCAAATCAGCATGACAATGAGATACTATTTCATACCCACTAGGATAGCCAGAATAAAAAACGATGGACAATTAGAAGTGTCGGAGAAGGTGTGGAAAAACTGGAACCCTCATACACTGCTGGTGGGAATATAAAATAGTGCAACCACTTAGGAAAACAGCCTTTCTAATGCTCAAAAGGTTAAAAAGAGAGTTACCACATGACCTAGCAATTCCACTTCTAGGTATATACCCAAGAGAACTGAAAACATACATCCATATGAAAACCTGTATTACACAAATGTTCACAGCAGCATTATTCATAAAAGCCAAAAAGTGTAAACAACTCTAATGTCCATCTTACTGCTGGATGGATAAACAAATGTGGTATGTCTGTATAGTGGAATATTATTCATAAAAAATAGAAAGTTAAAGAAAAAAAGAATGAAGTATAGTTACATGCTACTACACAGATGAACCCTGTACACATTATTCTAAATCAAAGAAGCCACACATAAAATGCTACATACGGTATAACTCAATTTACATGAAATGTCCAGAAAAGGCAAATCCCTAGAGACGTAAAGTAGATTACTGGTTGCCAGGGCTAAGGGGCAAGGTGGAATGGGAAGTGATTGCTAATTCTTTTTGGAGTGATGAAAAGTACTCTGGAATTAGATAGTGGTGATGACTGCACAACTTTGTGCACTTTTGTGCACCAAATTATACACCGTAAAAGGGTGAATTTTGTGGTATATAAATTATAACTCAATTAAAAAAATTTAAAAAACCACATAGTAACTCTACCTTCTATTATGGGACTTAAGTTCCTCTCTCTTAAAATCAAGAGGGGAAATATTATGTCTTCTTCCAAGGTAGCAAGTAAAAATCATATGAAAATATGTGGAGAACAAAACTCTACACAATATTAGTTTTGAGAAGTAAACAATGCATCAGCAACTTTTATAACGACGAAAAAGCATACGGCCTACACAGAAGAACACAGAGACTGCGGCCAAGCCCTGCTTTTGTCAGAGAGACACCCAGCTGTACTCGCAGTAACAAACTAACTCAACCAAAGACACAGGATGCACAGAAGACTTCTTTCAATATTGCTGCTTTTCCTTTGGAAATTTAATCAAAGGCTGGGCCATGAGAATTTAAGTAGAGGTTATGTCACTAGAGATAAGCAAGTAGAGTTGGACGACCACGTGTTTTAGTCATTTCATCGTCTGCTCTTGGTAGCAGGATATGCATTATTCTCTGAGGGTGAATTTGTTTTATAAAGAAACTTACAGCCCAGTTATTGATGGGCTTTCTAGGGATTAGCTGCATACTTATAAGAATAAGAGGCTAACCTCATCCTCTTAAACTTCACACACTACACCACAGATAGCTGACAGCTACAGTCAAAGGAGAAAAATAATCCAACATTTTGCTAATCCTTAAACCAATCATCTCATGCAGCAGTGGAGAGTCCTTTAGGTCTACAACTCAATCTCTCAAGTACAGACGGCCCGAAAGGCTCCTTTTACAGACACATCAGTAATCTACAGACCGAGCCACCCCCTACAAAAAACACCTCTCATCAGATATCACAAAATACCCTTGACTTCTTTCACTTCATACTGAAGTTTTAAAAAGCATACAGAATTATAAATTTGTCTATGAAGGAGGAATATATAAATCTGACCAACAACTGGAGCTCCACAGCCATTGACAGAAGTTATATTCATGAAAAGTTAAGTCAGATTACATGCAAATCAGTGAGAAAGGAAAACAAGTTTGTCTACTCTAACCCCCCACCTTCTTGAGCTCCTAAAGTTCATAGGCATTGCTATGGAAAATTGTTCAAAATTTTTTTTTTTTAAATTTTGTGCCATGGGGTGGACAATCCCCACTGGACATCTGGCCTTCTTCTCTCCCTTTCCAATTCTATCACAATGATCCATTTAACCCATTGTTCCCTTTGCACGCTATGTTGAGTAAGGAAGCCAGTGATACCTTGTGCTTCTCAACATTTTTGCTTCTCAACACTCTTCTCTATCTGTTCCAAACTTAACTTTTCCCCCCTCGGTTCTGAACTTTAAGTTTGTTCATCAAAAGCTGAATGGCTGTGCTCTTCCACCGCTGTGTCCTTACTGTAAGTCAGTCATGCACGACAACTAACGGCAGGAGAAGAGCATCTGTCTGGGTCTAATTTCCAACAACGACATCCACGTAACCACTAGAAAAGCAAGGAAGGAGGCGGCCTGCTGTTCAGAGCAAACACCCCTCACAAGAGCTCGGCCAACCGGGCCCCCAGATAGGCTACAGGCACTTAAAGAAGCCAGGCAGACAAAAACGCAGCTCAGGGCGTCGGGAACCTCGTGCTGGGGGAAGGCTGCCAGCCAGCATCTTATCCTCACAAAAGCCCTGCGAGGTGGATGGTATTGCTCATCTACAGATAAGGACACTGATAGAGGTTAAATAACTGTACGAGGTCACAATTCTAAATGGCAGTACCAAGTGTCCCATCCACGTCCATCTGATCCTAGGTCTGTGCTTTTTCCCAGGTAACACAATACAAACGCTCTTACATAAACTATCAGAGACACCATCAGGTTGGCAGCTGATTCAAAATAGAATATACCAACTATGCAATTGCTTTCTTTATAAAAAAAATACAGCTGATTATTTTTTACTTTCAGATGAAAAAGCAACCTTCTTTCTTCAGAGGTGAGGGAAATCCCCAGGGTGATATAAACAATGTGCATCTTGAGAGAAGTGTGGACTACATGGGTGCATGCATTTGCCACAGTGACCAAACTGGACATTTAAGTTCTGTGCATTTCACTGTATAATAAATTACACATGATTTTTTTTTTAAAATCTCTGTGTACATGTAGGAGTGTGTATACATGTGTATATATGTATATAAGTGTGTATGAATATACATATGCGAATTATATATAATGTAAACCCAATTGAAAGGGAATACCAATTATTTAGAATCTCAACCCTAACTAAAATCAATTATTTAGCATCTATCTGGGCAAACAGAAGAGTACTTATAGTCCTACACAACCCAAACAAACTGGAGAGTGATTCTGAGTCTTTCAATTTCCCCGGCCTTCAGGCAGCCTTTAGCCAGACCATAAATAAAATGCTACAACATATGTCGATCCATTTTGCGTTGGACATTTTTAATAGAACTCCAATTTTTTAAAAAAAGAAAACCTTTTCTAAGAATGTTGCTTACTTTTAAGTGCAAAGACTATCCTGACTTAAAAACTCCAACTATCAAATGACTAAGTTCCTTTCTGACCACACAACTTTTTTCTAAAGCACAAGTGAGTTGTATCAGACCAAATAAACCCTGGACCTATTAAGATCCCTGCATTATTAAATACTCTTTTTATTGTTACAAGAACATATTTAATCGCAAAAAGCTGGTAAAAAGCAAAATTCAAAAAGGCGGGTTGCAGTTATTATTTGGCTAGTCATCAAATTTGCTATCAGTCAGAGCTCTTAAAAAAATAAAATCTAACAAAAATCTTTCAACAGTTCCTCTATATGCTAAATCTCTAAGAAGCTCTGTAAAAATCTCTCTTAAATACCAGTTACCTTAAAGGCAGGTGCTGTGGTCGAAAGATTTACAATTCAGCACTTCCGTGAGAACTAAGTTTTCTAGGCTGGTGTGAAATGAGCTACATTAAATCGCTCAACAAGGACAGGAAAACATAACCTCCTGAAAGAGCATCCATGGGCCCAGGACACAAGTTGAGCTTACCTAGAAGCTTGGTGTCCTTGAGGAGCTTTAACTGTTTCCAGGTTTCCTAAAGAGAAATACCTTTAGCCCTGTCAAGCAAGCAGAAAGCCCCTTGATTGCACCTTAAAGGGAATGAGGCTGTTTCGGCTCATTTGCATTTTAAAGGGTACTCTTTCATGATCTTTCACACTCGTAATAGATGTCTAAACCGTTAAATTACTATTTCTTTTCTTAGCCTGAAAGTCGATGCAGACTAAGAGCGTGGCCTCTCCCATTGTTCTTTACCCTAAGTCGGCCCCTGAACAATACTGACAGCTGCTATCAAACCCGGCTGCACTTACTCCATCAGCAGCTGCTGTGTGCAGGAGCAGACAGCCTCTCAGTACCTCCTCCCCTCTGGGGAGACAGGTTGACACACTGCATGTTCAATGACGGGGTGCAAAGGTCCAGTGAATTGTCAACCCAATTTTATGCTACTTTGATTTTCAAGGATGCACACAATTCCTTTCAAGCAAAAATCAAGCATATGCCAGAGTCTGAAACTTATGGTTCGGGATAATTATTGATCACTACAAACTTTAAAAGAGCCTTCTGACATTAATTAATATGTGATCCCAAAACTACAGTTATGAAAAATGCATATGCTGGTATGCAGAAATCATGCAAAAGTCTTATGCTGGGCCCGATTCCCTTATTCGGGTGATTGTTGTTGGTTACCAGAGCTAATCTGCCTTTACAATCTCAACATGTTTCCTGGACTAAGTCCATTCATATCATTAGCGATTCATCTGCCCTTCTAAAGCAAGCTTCTATTCTATTTTCTGATTCAACTAAAAAGAAGTATTACCTATAAACATCTGTTAAGTATAATGTCATCTTTTCTAAGCGGTAGGCCAGAAAGGGAAATTAACAAGGGTTGGGGCGGTGCCTTTGAGGATTTAAAAGTAAGGGTTTTACCATCACAAAATTATATGTAAAAATGTAGAGCCTACCAGAAAACAAACATGTTCCACAAAGTTTAACTGGGTACTTGAGGACTGTTTTGCATATGTTTTCTTTTAATCAAAACAGGCTTTTCCATCCTCATTCATTTGGGTTAAAAAATTCTGTGCTCGAGCTACAAGTACAATTCGCTATTAGTCTGTGCTAATCAAACACGGCACATGCAAAAGTACCAGTGAATATTTGATTTGATCTCTGAAAGAAAGCAATTCATTACACAAGAAAAGGGTACAGAAGGCAGCAGACAAATGCAGATGTAATTGTGTTTTTTGTTGAATGTGATTAGAGAGCCCAGTAAGTAACAGTCAAAAATGTGATACTAAAGGGGGAAAAATGCAGAGCCTGGATCTGGGGGAAGGGGAGGAGGGCAGAATTGTTTATGCAGAGCTAAACTGTCAAGTGTAATAAAGCAGCCTGAATAAAATTTAAGCTGAAAATCCACTGAAGCTCCCCATTTCAGGGAGGAAAAAGCTATTAAAAGGAAGTGAAGGTCACCCTCTCAGTTTATTTCACCTAATTGACTGCCAATAGCTCACCACAGGCAACCCGACTGCAGATCTGCAATTGAGAAACCGATGAAAGGAAGAGTTTTCAAGCTGAGGCTCATTCTTTAATCCTCCTTCGCTCTTATGTTTTTTCTCCATCTCCAGTTGGGATGTAATTTTAAGCCCTGATGGATTAACTGGTTCCATTGTCTGGGGCCGTCATTGGACTATGGCACTCTTAATCCGTACAGCAGCATGTCTAATTATCATTACAAAGTGTCTGAGGGAACTATAAAGACCAGCAGGGCATCTTCTCACAAGCAATTAACATAAATTGATAAATGAGTAATTTGAATCCGCTCAAGGCACTCACATATGAATAAAATCAGAAAGGATGGTCCCTTGTTTCAGCTACTTCTTTCGCTTAGTCTGGAAGGGCAGAAAACATGAGAACCCCACTGGATCCTGCCGGGGGTAGGGGGGTGGGGGATGAACTCATGCAGGGGATGGATGGCACGGTTCACCAGGTTCATTAATGCAGAGCAAATGACTTGTGATTGACAAGCCGTCTTCAACAAGGAACACTGACTAAACTCAACCTATGCCAGCAGAAACCTGGTGAAAGTCTGAGAGCAGGATGGCAGACAATTAACACTTCTTCAATGGCAACAGGGGGCTCTTTTCATTGGTGGGCCACTTAAAAATTCATGAAAGATGCGCAAGAAAGAGACAGTGTGAACAGCTGTGTAGGTTCTAATACCCTAGCAAGCTAAAGGTGAAAGCAAAGATACTTAAACGAAATGATCAGAGACCTGTCTTAACGCCCCCACGACCTCAAGTTATAAGACAGTACTTAAAACTCTAACCTAAACCTTGTACTTGACTGATGGAGCATGGGTGGCTTAAGTGTCACAGGATAAGCTACATTTACTTTCCCATTAAAAAGTATACTAATTTTTCTTCCCCTCGTAAAATGTCTCTTCTGTTATCTTCTCTCTGCTAACCCCTTTCCCCCATACACCTCAGCATAGCCCAAACCCCCACCTACCCTTATCAAATCAAAATGGGCCAACATTAAACTACACAAAATTATACATACATATATATATATATATATATATATATATACATACATACATATATATATATATATATGTACACATAGCCATCAAATTAATAAGAAATGAAAGCGGGTTATACACACTGTAGGAGGTAGACCTGGTAGGCCACGTACCCCGATGATGGCATTCAACTCTGCCATGGTCACCTGCTTGGCACGTTCGACGGCCTGAGCCACCTGTTGTTGATGCTTTGGAAACAAGGAGAAGAAAAGGTGTTAAAAGCAAGGCAGCCGAAAACTTCACTTGTACATTACTTAACAACAACAAAAAAACAAATTCGCCACGCAACGCCGATTAAAGGGTTCAAATACAGTTTCTCAACCACACATATTTCACAGAACCCATGTGCAACAGGAAAAGGAAACAGAATGGTGCTTCCCTTTATGTCTAACCAACACTAGTCACCACTTAATCTCTGATGGTAGTGTTTGGTTTGGACTGTAAAAAGTCACAAAGGACATCAGCAGTAGTAACTTGAGGCCTTAGAAAACAGTATGGAATTGGGAAAATCACCCTGATTGGTTGTCAGAAGGGGCTGTAAAAGATTGGGCAAATCAAGTTTATAGTCACTTTAAAACACTCATTTCAATACTTAAAACCTGAACGTCAAATCTGCAATCACTTCACTGAAAAATGCATCTTGACCCACCAGTAGTTTCTGGAAACTTTGGGAATCCTCCTCCTTTTGAGTTTTCACCCTCCACAAGATCCCACTCTCCCTCACAGGCTGGAATCACCCTGCACTCCTACTGACTCCACCCACAGACAAAAACAAAGTCATGAGTTTATCTCGGAAGCACACAGAGGCCAGGATCACTGAAGTCTAGCCAACAAGTAGATTCAAGAGACCAACAGATCAGACAGAATTGTAACATCAGACAAATGTTATGCTGGAAGGGACTGCCACAATAATGGCAGAGATGGTAAATGACCATCCAGCAAAGCAGATCAGATTTCAACTAGAACAGACATTCAATATTCTAACCCCCAGCCCAATAAGCTTTCACCCTGTTTCAAGAGACATTCACCCCGTACACACACTTAGAAAGCATTTTAGCATTTATTCGCCTGTATTCAAAAGTAAGGCTAACTTTAAGACAATACTAAAATATAAAGGTCTTGAGTCAACTGGGAATACTTATTTTATCCTTAGGATTATTATCTACTCCCTCTGTGAACAGCACCCTTTCACATAAAGTCAATCCAACTTGACATACAAGTACAAATGAAATACCTGCTTTCACAGGTAAAGTCAACTCCTGGTAGAACGATTTTTAAAATTCAACACAGGAAAACTTTCTACTTAAACAATATTTAAAAAAAAAAAAAAAAAAAAACCCGTTGCCGTCGAGGCAATTCTGACTCATAGTGACCCTACAGGACAGAGCAGAACTGCCTCATAGGGTTTCCAAGGAGAACCTGGTGGATTCAAACTGCCGACCTTTTGGTCAGCAGCCACTCTTAACCACTACGCCACTAGGGTTTCCAAACAATATAAGGGACACCTGAATCATCAGTAGATCTCAAGCTCATACAACTCCTCAAAGAAAACAAAAGCATTATCTTTAATAGCCATTTTGCAGTTTTCCACAGAAAAAAATTAATCTGAGGTTGAGCTATTGTCACCACTTCTGCAGTGTGCCCTCAGATCTGTTAGATGGAATAGCAGGGGGTTTGCACACTTCAGCTGTAACAGATGTTCTTCACACTTGTTCCTTGTGATAAAATTAACATCTTAAAACTAGCTAATTTGCAAACAGAGAAGCGACATAATTGCACTTTAACAGCTGAACAGTTTTACTTACTTCCTGAGACAGAAATGGGATGACTTGTGCACAAATCGTATTCAATCTCTTGGCGATTTCAGTCTATAAAGACAAAGCCATACAAATGTTTAGAATACTTCATAATCGGTTCAGAAAGATAACACTTTATCCCAACACTTGATTACTCCATTACCTCACTCTTGAAGGCATACAGTTGTTTTCCCAGGTTATGTTATACTTTTATCTTGAGGTACACAGCAGATTATTAATCCCACTTGCAAAGACAAAATCACATGCTTTGGTGGTTACTTAATAAGGGACAACGGGTAGTTTAATTAAGTCAAAGAAGCTACCTGGTTTAAGGCACTATGACTATCTAAACTGTCCACTGCAAACCACTTAATGTTGTTGTTAGGTCTTGTCGAGTCGGTTCCAACTCAGGGCCACCTTATGTACACCAGAATGAAACACTGCCGGGTCCTGTGCCATCCTCACGATTGTTGTTATGCTTGAGCCCATTGTTGCAGCTACTGTGTCGATCCATCTCGTTGAGGGTCATCCTCTTTTTCGCTGACCCTCTACCAAGTTTGATGTCCTTCTCCAGTGACTGATCCACCACTTAATATACTTATTCAATTACAGCATACCATGGCGTATTTATGTAGTTGTACCAAGTCCATTCAAACTGATACCAAAAATCATTGGAGCAGTAACACCGTCAAAGCAGTCTAGCTTTCCCAAAAAAAAAAAAGCTGTTGAGTCAACTCTGACTCATGGCAACCCCATGTGTGTCAGAGTAGAACTGTGCTCCATAGGGTTTTCAATGGCTGATTTTTCAGAATGAGGTCACCAGGCCTTTCTTCTGAGGTGCCTCTGGGTGGGCTTAAACCTCCAACCTTCCAGTTAGCAGGAGGGCACGTGAATCGTTTGCATCACCCAGGGACCTCTAGCTTTCCAAGATAAGGTCTAAGTGAGACAGCAGAAGAAAGGAGCCTACTGACCACCTTCCCACCTGTCCTGCACAACTGAAACGGGTTTTTAACATTGGTAGCCTTCACTAAGTCTCGTATATTCAAACAAACCAAGAAACACTACTGAAACAGAACTCAAGTCCCACATGATGGTCAAGTCAAGAGGTTCTGAATATTTGTCAAGTTTCACAATTCAGTGTCAAAAAGAAAAGACCTTATAGAGGGGGCCCCTGGCTCATCTGAACATAACAAGATGTGTTATGAGTGTCTGCAGCACAGGTTGTTCTAAAGAAAGCAGGAAAAGCTCCTGCTCAGCTCAAAATCTAGAGCAGTCCCTCTGCTACATGGACAAACTGGCAAGGGAGAGAATAAATGCTGCTTTGCTTCCAGCCTAGGGCAGGATCCACCTGCCCCACCTCCATCACCCTAGAGCAATGCAAATCAGCTCTGCTTAAAAAAAGAAAAGTCATCTGAGAAGACCTCAGATGCCCAGTGTTGACCTTATTTATATATCATTTTCTGTCAGTATTTACTAATGCTGCTGCTATTACTGTATTAAGCAATAGAAAGATGACAGGAAGAAAATTATAAAACATGCAGTCAATTCCCTTGAGAAATATAGAATGGAACATTTAAGATAAAGTAGAAAAACCCCAGGAACTGTACAAACACGTACGTACATAAATAAGAGTCACCCTTTGTCCTCTGATATGTTTCCAGTTAACTGAACAACAAGGTCTTTGGGTTTTATGGGATTGGCTTGAGGTCAACCCAACCCAAATCTCCATGACCACCAATGAGATAGGATTACAGATCATACTATGGAAGAAATGTACTAGAAGGAGAAATGAGAGATCAAACCCATGACCCTGCTTCCACCAAGGGGGCAAACAGATATATGCAAAAAGGCTGCAGCTGTACCAGGTGCAAAAACAGATCTGGGTCAGCCCCACCTAGTTATTTGATCACAGCTAACTCAAGGTCATGGCTCTCCTAGAAAGCATGGGCAGGTTCCCCTTTTCTCTGCAACAGGGTTCTGCACTATATATTTGGGTACGTGCAAAGGATTAGGAGCCCTGGTGGCACAGTGATTAAGAACTATGGCTGCTAACCAAGAGGTCAGCAGTTCGAATCCACCAGCTGCTCCTTGGAAACCCTATGGGGGCAGTTCTATTGTGTCCTATAGGGTCACTATGAGTCAGAAGCGATTTCACAGCAGTGGGTTTGGTTTTGGTGAAAGGAGTAAGGATGTCCTTCATGGACTTCTAGACAGGTCCTTGCTCCCCATTTCTCACCTACCATATGCTCCAACAGCATTTTGTACATTCCCTTTTCCAAAATTTACACTTGAGGTTTTCCAATTTTCAAAATGCGTGCTCACTTTGGAGACACACACATACACATATAGATGCAGACATACAAAAGAAAGTTAAAATAACCCTAAGTCCATCATGCAGGGATAAGCATTGGTCTGATGATTCTGGAAGCATCATTCTAAGCTTTCATTGTATGTTCCAGAGCCCAGGGTGAGAAACATTTTTATACCAAAGTGGTCCCACCACCTTTCCATAACTTGTGTTTCCACTCAAAAATGTGTCATGACCACTCTCCCAGTCAGTAAGTACATTATCAGCTATTCCACTAGACAAGTACACTCATGTTTAAGCACTCCTGACATCAGTGGATATTCACGTTTCATCTAATTTTTTTTACAGTTAGAAACTCCTTGTCGTGTAACTCTCTGCATAGATTTCCAAGAGGAACTCCTAGAAGTAAAACTGCTAGGTGTGGGGCAACAGGTTTTTTTTTCACGTGGCCTTTCTGGTCCTGGGTTTGTAATTCTCCCCAAATCACTGGTTAGGTACAATCTACTAAAGGATTGGTTAGTTTACTATCCAAATAAGTGGCTCGTAGGGATTGGTCAGTTTACTATCCACATAAGAGGCTCGTAGGGATTGGTCAGTTTACTATCCACAGAAGAGGCTTGCAAACCCACCCAATAGGATTGGTCAGTTTATGATCTGCCTAAGTGATTGGTTGGTTTACAAAAGCCATGCTCTAAAACTGAAAAGTTTTTCTATATAAGTGGCCAATCTCACAGAGGTTTTTAGGGTTTCCTGATCCACAATAGCTAGGAGGGGAGCACATCCTTTGGACACAGGGCCCTGTGCTGAGAACCTCCTAGAAGAGCTGTAAGTCAGATCATGGGCTGTAACACTGAGCTGGTAACACTGAAGACTGTGGAAAACAGGGCAAGCACAGCAGAGCCAAGAGGCAAAGAAACGGTGGCATCACTGCGAACAGCGGGAACCAAAGACCAGCAGAAGCCCGTGGTGGGCAGAGCTAGCCCACGGAGCAGAGCTGGGCACCTCCAGGCAGGGCAGGAGGTTGCCAATGGAGCTGGGCACCTCCAGACAGGAGGTCACCAACAAAGCAGAAGCTTGGGCATACACCATACAGAGGCTGCCTGTAAAATGGTTTTGCCTCGAAAGCTGTCTTAGTGTCAGCCTAACCCTGACACTGGCCCAGTGCTGTCCCAAAGCTACTAGCTGAGAGCTGAACCAGCAAGCAGAGGGGTTCAAACCTGGCCAAGAAAAGCCATGGAGATGAGGCAGAGAGAAAAAACAGCCACTCTGAGCCCAACCTGAGGGCACACAAGCTGAGCAAGAGAGAGAAGAGAGACCTGCTGACAGCTAGTCCATCACATGCATACGCAGTGACACAGAAATGGGCATGGGTAATTTGGGAAGGGGGACTGGGTCCCCTTTTAGACATAAATGGGCTCCTCTTCTACGATGCTAAGTGGGGTACTCGTAGGGGTCGAGGGGACTGGTTCACTTCAGTCTCCTGTTGTTTACTGTTTGCTTTCTATAAGTAATCTGTTCTTGTTTATTGTTTACCTTCTATAAATAATAACCGCTTTCAAATGTGAACACTGTTGTTAACTGTCTTGTGTGTACAACCCAACTGGACGGAACAGAAGGGTCCTCATCCCAGCAGTCTCATGGCTGCTTGTAATTTTGAGGCAACTGGGTCAAAGTGTCTGCATATTTTAAATTGTAATGCATGCTGCCAAGCTGCCCAGCGGAAAAGCCTTACCAATTTACATTATCATCAACAATGTATGAGGGTGCTTGCCCACCCACCACCCACCCACTGTCAATACTGGGCTTTCTTGACCTTTTCATAATCTTTAGCCATCTAACAGATTAAAAACTGATTCACTTTTATTTGCATTACTTGGATTCTTCCTTAAGTTAAACATCTTTTCATGTATTTACTGGCCCGCTGTATATTTCCTTTGTCTACTTTCCCATCGGTGTTTATTCATCATTGTCTTTTTGTAGTTCTTTTCATATGACAAATGTTAACCCTTCATCATAGTTTGTTCAGCCGGCCACTTGTCTTTCAACCTTGCTTACTATGGACTTTCTGCTGTACAGAACTTCAAACTTTTACGCAGTCAAACTAAAGAAATTTACTCTTATGTTCCTGGCCTTTGGGTCTGGATTAGAAACATCTCAAGATTATAAAAGCCATTACCTTCTCCTAGTGCTGCTAGGCTATACTTTTATACTTAATTACTTGATCTAGCTGGAATTTATTTTGGTATAAAAAGAAAATATTATCTAATTTTTAATAACAAATACTTTTATGTATTATTACATACAATAGCTTCAAAGTAGAAATGAACATGGTCAGGGAACAGTAAGACCCAGTTTGAATGGAACAAACTTGTAGATCTTTAATAATATAAAGTTACTAAAAACAAAATAAATGAAGAAGCAGAGATTAAAGGAAAAAAACAGCATAAATTTAGGTTATACACTAAAACAGGTAGAAGTAGGTAAGACTGAAATAGGAAAAAAAAGGTTAAAGATGAAAGCTCAAACTGATGAAGAAACATCTAAAGCAAAAGCATATGTCCCTGGAATACGAAACAGTCTGGAGAAGCAATGAGAATAAGAGCAACAGAGAAGGATCTTATCCGAGCTGTCTTCTCTCTCTGCCAGGTCTCTAAATCCTATCTTAAGCTATCTTCTGACAAGCCAGCTTGATTTTAGGCCAGAAAGCCTAAATTCAAGTCTCAACTCTTTGACTTAAAAACGGTTTATCTTGAACCAGGCACTG